GTGTTTGATGTGTTCTTCTGAAACTGCTGCAATCCCTGAAGTGTAGAGAGTTGTATTGCAGGGTATGTTTTCTCATCTTTGGGTTTTCCATTCAGCTAATCAAAAAAAGATTGGCTGTTCCTTAAACTGTGAGAACACCACTTGCTGCTCAGCAACTTTACTCATCACAAAACAGAACAAGGGAGATTTCCTAATTATTACTAAATGGCCTCAAACTAGAGAGAGGAAAGGTAAAAATCTTTACTAGCACATCTAGTCCTCTCATTTCCTAGAGGAGAGACTTCATGTCTGAAGGCTCCTGGAAACCTATTAGTTTTCACTAGAGGCCAGAAGAGGAGTTAATTCAGGAAATAAGGTGTTGAAAATCCACTTTAAGATTCTGCCACACTATTATGAGAATAAATGCCATAATTTCCCAGCTCTTGCTGTCTACACTGGCAGGAAACTTGTCCTTGTGCTTTAGTAAGACATTTACAGAGAAAACCTATTGAAACCCACCCTTTTAAACATATCAGTCTTGTTTAAACAGACATTGTTTCCCATGTGCCAAGGACAGGAAGCCACACGAGGAATTTAACATGAAGCAAAGACTATGTAAGTAGAATGATCAAAGTGATAAGTGGGACAGTGTCTCATGGAGGGAGCTGAACAGGTTACAGTAGCTAATTACATTGTTTGGCAGATGCTGAACCCTATCTGCTTTCACCCAGCCTCCACCCAGCAGGAAAGTCCCCTTTACAGCTTCCTTTTGAAATTATCTTTTGTGGTACCTTTGGAAGAGAAGTCCACTGTTTCCCATCAGGATTCAGCTGCATAGCTCTGTCTCCTTGTTGAGAGGTTTGAGTGATTATCTCCTGGAACAAGAAGGGCCAACGTTATCCCTGAAAAAACCATCATTTCTTTTAAAGGCAATCCTCTTTGGGAACTGAGAACTTCAGAGCCACAGGAACAGGGAGCCCATGGTCAGTGCTGCCTGGAGAGGACCCGGGGTTTCCTTTGGTGCCCGGTGCCACAGCCTGGGCTGTGCTTGCCCCACTAAGGCTGAGCAGAGGCGTAGCAGGCAGGTAAGGTCCGCCCTTCGTGACACACGGGGAGGGGAAGCAGCTCCTGGCCCTGGCTCTTAAAGGAACAGCAAACCCATCTCCCATAAGCACACTCTGTTATTAATCTTTCATGTTGAAGTACACCTTTGTGTTACATAATACTTCTTCTGAAGTGGCATATATGGTGTCTCTCAAATTTATAAAACCCCTAAATATTCAAAATGCTCCCCCTGTAAACAAGCTGTTACTCCCCAAGTAGTTTTCTTTTTCTTTCTGTAGTTTACTATAACTTTAAAAGTTTCAATATTGAGGTCTTGAAGCCTTGACTTTTTTCATCCTGCATAGAGTCATTACAGTCAATGGTAGGTCAGGACTGTAGTATCATCTTTGCACTACTTGCAGCACAACCACTTGAGATCCCAGATGCCTTGCTTTGCTCTGCATCCTTCTTACCTGAGACAAAATGCCATCTTGGTCCATTGTTGCATCCGCACACAGTTATCTGTGGCAATGCAATCTCACATCTCCCAGCTTCCACAGGCACCAATGGTTCAAATGTCCCAGGTGCAGGTGAGCAACTATTTTATAAACTGACTCAGAGCCCCACCTCTGACTGGTTTCTTAAAACCAGTTACTCCCCTCCCATTTTCTTATGGTAGGAAGCTGAATCCTGTGGTCAAATAAGCAGGAAAAAAAATACCTTTGCCTCTATAGCAGGTGGAAGTACTGTGTTTGAGTCACTTTCCTCTATACTGGCCAATAGTAGGTTTAAAACTAAACATAAGAGAAGGATGCCCTTTTACCTGAGCACTGAAATTTCAACTTAGCAAGACCTCAAAGCCCAAGAAATATATACTCTGCAATAAGATACAGCAACAGTTTATAAATTGAATTTAGGTTATCTGTGACAGTAAGCAGATACAATAAGACAGCTAATGAAAAAAAAAAAGAGAACACTATTGCTCTCAGACTAACCTGGTTATTGCAAAAAATAGTTTAAGGCTTTCTGAACCACACATCCCTACAATCCCAGGTCTAGGCATGCAGAGCAGCACACTCATATGGTGGTTTATGTCTACTCAGCAAAGGTCCAGTAGGGCTGGTTCTCTCCTCAAGTCATTGTATTCCTTCCCTCTCCTTTCCTATGGCTTGTTATAATTATTTTTGTGTTTAGATGTGGAGTCCTGAAGCAATGACTTTCCATAGCTTAGCTCCACACCCATGAATACTTCTGCACCATTTTCTAGCTCAGATTGACTCTGGCTGCAAACTAGCTGCAGCCAGCTTGTTTGCATCTCTGAGCAAAAAAGATGCTCATTCCCTGAGCATTCTTGAGCTTAATGGTCAAACATTGCCACCAGCCAGCACAGATCCCCTTTGCACATTCCCTTGCAAAATAATACCAACAGTCACCACAGCCAGCTTGGTAGAATAAATTTTTGCCATAGGGTACAGTATTTTGTGACGCCATGAAGGGTTGTGTCTACACACGTGGCATGTTTCCTCTGGGTGCCAGCTCAATGCTGTAGCTTGGTGAAATGCATTTTTCATTAGGTCACAGAAAATTGTTGGTCACAGCATTGGCATGTCAGTCATGTTTAAAGACAGTGCTTTACTATAGTGTCTCCTTGGAGGGCAAAACTTTTAACCAGACTGTTTACCAGGACTGGACCTCTGAGGCTTTCACTCCTACAGTGCCAGTGGCCAAAAAACTCTCATTTTCATGGACAGCATTTACAATCCACATTAGAGACAGCCCTTGCATGAGGGAGGGACCATGGTTCACTCCATACTCCTGCAATCTGTCTCTGAGACATTCCTTTATCCATGATGCTCACAGAAAGTATTTGGCATGCTCTTTGCAGAGATAAAAACAGTTTTGTGTTCCAGGAACAAGGAATGTTCACACTGTGAACCTGAAGTATATTACTGAAATGCCTGAATATGTGGAGCAAGGCAGAATTTTCATTTTGCAAACAAGCCTTTATTGTCTTGTACTGTATACACAAAATTTTTGCATGGAAATAACATTTCTTCAGAACTGGAGGCGGCAAGAGTTTATGGCTAAAACCTGTGTTTGTTTTTTCACAACAGGATTTTCTGGTAAAAATGGAGGCAATTCCCAGGATTATATGCTGAGCACATAGTATTATATTTCTGACTATGACTAATAAAAAAAAGGAAAAAAAGAGACTTGCATAGTTCAAAACCTGAAAAGTTTCAAATGTTAACATTTGCACCGTGATCTTTAGGCTGGCAATATTAGGCTACAGTTGCACAAAAATGTAAGTTTTGTTTTGGCATAATAAATTACTAAAATGTTGGAAAAGTCATTGTGAACCAATTTGTAAAGATAATTTGTCATCACTACTTGCTAAAATGAAAATCCTCAGGGTGCCATTTTGTAACGAGCCAAACATGTTATCTGGCTGTGAATGAACCCTGTTATTTTCAGGTTGGGTTCCCTAGGCTGACGAGGTAGGCAGTCTATTAAAAAGAAGTTATGTTTCAAAACAAAGATGTTTTGTAAAATATTAACATGAAATGTTTCAACTTACCCAAGCATTTTCCCTGGTTTATTTTAGTCCCACATTATAATCTGTAGTTGATGGACTTTTTTTCTGACTGAATAGACTCTTTGTTCAAAATTTTCCCAGTTGTCTTTAGGACACAAAACTTATTAATAAAGTGTGTTTTCAATTTGACTTGCTCCTGGAATGCAAAAGTTGTTATGCATTTATAATTTTTACAGCTCACCCTCAGGACAGTTTAGAACAGTTTTTAAAAAAAGCACTTTCAATAGAAGGGAAAAGGAAGGAAGTTTAAAAATGCAAGCCCACAACAAATGTAATTGGTGTTTTTGTGCTAGATCCCATGCAAGGTCTTCAGATTGTTTTAAGATGGTCTTAGTTGTTTCAGACTTCTGACTCACTTCTATTTAGTTTGTACAGGCAAAGCTAAATAAAAACAAATAAGAGGGTTTTTTTAATAGGCATATGACCTAAACTGTTACACTGAGTAACATAGCAAAGTTTTTATTGTCTGTTGGAAGTAAAATATTTTCAAGTGCTTTCTCTTTTTAATTTAAGAATGGTATTTTGAGAAGTAACTCAACAGGGAAAACAAGATCCAGGGTGTTTTATTTTGAAAGCTTCAAATTGAAGTGTTAAGGTTTTATAACAAAAAAATTATTGTCTCAGTACAAACCAATTAAAACTGACAAAAATCAACAGGGAATTTTGATGTGCCCAAATTACACCCTTTGCTTAAAAAAAAAAAATGTGAAAAGTGTTACACCACTTCCTCCTAATTTGCTCCTTCCCATCACATATGATTCATTCACAGCCCAAGAGAGCCCAGGATGTGGATACGAATCATGGGTCTGTTGTGTGCACACATTTGTCCCTCTTTATATTTCCAGCCTCTGTGGCTGCTTTTTGGGACACTTGCAAAACAGAGTTGACCCAGGGATCCAGTACCAGCTTCCAGCTGTGTCTCAGGTTCTCTTTGTTTTCCAGGGTTGGTTGCACCTTGTGTTCCAGAAAGCAGATTTGTGGGAGCAGAAGTTTGTACTCCCTTCTAACGGCCTGTAGGTGTGTTGGCTGTGTTGTATAACTGTAGCACTGTGGCGATAAAAAATTATTTTCCTTTATGTCATATATTATAATAAGTTAGGCTTAAAATCCTGCTATTTAAAAAATCTAACAAGTAGTTTAGGCAAAGAGTGATTTACAGACAACCTTAATTTATGGAACAAAACATAAGTAAAAATTTCCCACACAATGTCTTTGCTTATAGAGACCACTTCTTGGGAATGGGAAAACCCCAGCAAACCACTGCACCAGCTGAGGTGGTTTCTGTAGTGCAGAACGGCCAGTGTTTGAAAAAGCTGTGCCCCTTCTGGGTCCTAGAGCATGAAAAACTCCTCTGAGAAGAAAAGGGCAGTTGGACAGGCAATCAGCACATCTTCTGCCTTCTCCTTTGCATTGCTGTCTGCAAGGCCTGCATAATCATCTGAGAGTTGTTGAGGATGTTGTACTCGCTGAGATTCAGCAGCTTGCGGTAGTTGTCATCTGTGTATCTGACCGAGAACATGCAGTAGGGGGAACAGGAGCTGGTCAAATCCAACTGGCCTTCCTCCATCTCTGAGCAACAGCGCTTGACACCTGAGAGAAAGAGTTGTTGCTACTGTGACATGATGTTTATCTTAACCAGTGTCGAACTGTCCATAAAGCGTCAAAGAGCGGGACTTTTCCCCTGAAGAAAATTCATAGGGTTTAAATGCAAACAATGCAGGTCATATATCACCACCCTAGTCAAGAGAAAGAACATTGTGAGTCTGAAGTAAGGAGGGCACAAGAGAGAAGTGAGGGATGGCATCACTATGTTCATCTACAGCTTACTCAGAAACATCTGTCATTAAAACCATGGATCAGGCAAGGATGTCAGCCTGAAAGGGCACCCCAAAAGCCACTGTCCATGCACTGCAGCTGGGATTTCTACGAACCTCAAATGAAGAAGATTAATTGCTAGTAAGATAATAGAATTTAAGTGAGAAAGGAGCAATAGAAACCGAGTGGAAACCAAAAGTTCCTGCAATGCTGAATAATGTCCAGGGCACCTGCCACCAGGATCCAGCTCTGCCTTTCTGATTTTTGTGTCACAAAAATTCCACAACAGCAGTATTTTGGGCTTAACCTCCCTGCTACCAAGGAGCAGAGCAAATGCATCCTAGTAACCTGTAGTAAAGAAAGGGAGTACAAAGCAGATGACCTGGTAGAAAAAGAGTGACAGGCCCTGAACACAGCACAGTCAGTAAAATGATCCCGGGGCTGATGCTGTATCAAAATGAGACACACTGATTTAATGTTACTAGAGTTCAGCCTGAAAACCAGGTTCTTTCTCCCCCACCTCTCATATGTGACACTACAGGTGCTCAAGTGTAGAATTAAAACTTGAATAGACAATATATGCAGTGGGAAATAATCTGAGAGAGCTGTGCCTTTTACAGGAAAAAAACTTGTGGGTAGGTAATTGTGTAGGACCACTTCAAGTAACAAATGGGAGAGAGGTGAAGGCAGACACCATCCAGAAAACACAGGCTGTGCTTGTTCTCTTAAGGCCACAATGAAGACATGAGTGAACATTATAGCTTTGGCAGGGATGGGGAAAACAAGTTGCATTAGCTAAAGTGCTCCCCCATGAACCCAGTGAGCAAAGACAGCCAGCAGCAAAGAAGTCTCTGTCTGAGTCAGGGAAGCAGTGGTGTCTTTTGTTCAATGATTTGCCACTACTTGTAACTTACCAGGTGCTTTGTACTCTTTGAAGGTATCATTCACAAGGGGAAGAAAAATCACAATCGGACATCCTGGCAAATCTGAATCTTGGAAGACATAGCACTCCTTCAGATTTTTCTTATCTTCATCAGTCAAAGAAATTGTTGGGAATGGGATTTTCTGCTCTGAGTAGTATTTACACGCCTTATCTAGAGACTGGAGGATCACAAAAATGGTCAGCACTGGAAATCAACTTCATTGTCCAAAGGCCCCAGATTGTTACCTGCTATTAAGGTTTAGTGAGTCAGATCCAAAAGGCAAGTTCTGTCTTATCAATTACCACACATAGTGACCACATTGCTAATCACAAGCTGTAAACACAATTTCAGAATTAAAGAATTCACCCAGGGCACTGCTTTAAAAAAAAAAATGGAAGCAATTAGCAGAAGTTTAGGATAAAGCATTACTTTTAGCAAATGAAAGAGCCTGTGTTCATGCATTGTATAGAATTAACTAGAGAAGGAAATCCAAGCAAGAAAATGTTTAAGGTGTCTTATGTGCTTGGAAGCCAGGAGACAAGAAAGTTAAGTTTGAATGTGCAACTTTATCTCTGCCTGTGCAGTCATTATGGCACAGTGTTAATTGAGATTAATATGCTATTGAGAAAATCTGAACTATATAGGCTATGCTATATCTTTTCCCTGAAATATTTAATAAAATATCATGTACTAATATGCACAGTATTATTTACTCTGCACCATCTAATAGCAAACACTTTGAAGCAGAAGAAGGTTTCTACTAAAATACTTAAAATTGTAGCAGCCTTTTTTTGTAAGTTTTATCTAGACAATGAATAAGGCTGAAATAAAACTTCATTATATCTGTCTCATCCAACATACAGATGGCTAGCAGTAGCACAGCTGTTCTCATTCTCAAAATGTAATCTTACTTATGAAGGCCAAAGTGCTTAACAGTGAGTTATCAAATAACCTGAGTTTCTGACATAAAAAGATCCAAACTTTTTTTTATGCCAGCTCTTATAGACAGTTAATTAGCTTTATCTCCACAAAATGGGTTTTCTGCAGGAAGATGTTAATCACTGAATTTTACTTGTAGTGTCTTATTTGTCAGACCAGAAAGGATCTGCTGCTAATATTCAACTAACCCTTTTTATATTCTAACTTAAGTCAGAAGAAATAACTTCCTCATCTTTATGAATATTCCTGTGCATGGTCTGGAAGCCTGCTTGATTCAGTATAAAGCAGAAGAGGCTCCTCCCATTATTCTAGAAAAGACCATGCTGACATCCCCTTGAATAATTCAACACGTTCATAAACCAGCAAAAAAAGAGTCCAGGAATGGCAGGAAGAATTAGGAACAGTATTAATCACTACAGTGAAAAATACAGGGGAATGCAGGTATTATAAACCAAACAGCTGATAAAACCAGCTGTTCTGGATGCTACAGGCTGGGCATTTACAAGTAAAAGGAGATACAACACATGGTAACAAGAACATCCTCACCGATGTATGTGATCCAGTAGTATAACTTAGGTAGATGATGACATCCACTTCCCTCTGGGGCCTTAAAAGTGGTGCACTGCTGGTATTGATGAAAAATCCAGCATCTATCATGCCCAGCTGATCAGGATTTTGCATCAGCTGGTTGGGACGTGTGTCTAACACAGTGTCTAAAAGGAAAATATTTTTTGAGTAAAAATAGATCTGTGGGTATTTTGACTGGAAAAAGAAGTGCAAAGTGCAACTGACCATTCCAGAGGCCTGGTTTAATTTAATTGCCATACTACTAGATCATCAAATAGGCATGAGAAGCACTGCAAAACACCTAGGTTCCTGTTCTGAAAAATCTGTGTTGAGTTTCCAGGCAATATACTGCATTAACATGGCACACCTATCAGTGCCAATAAGCTATGTCTAATAATAATAATAATCTACATCTGCCTTGCTTCATTTCAGTCACTGTTTAATCTTCTATCTGTCATTGTTTTGGGGAACAAAGTATTTTCAATCCTTTATACATTTGAACTTATGCTTCCCACTCAGTCACCTCTTCTTTGGATTAGAGAGCCCCATTCATTTCCAGTTTTCTTTTATAGCCAGTATTTTCCTGGATATTTCAGTTGCACCTGAAGTTAGAAGCATAATCTTGCCAAATTAAGCTTTCTCCTATGTTCACTCTGCTCTCTGCCACTTTAAATTTGGTGCTGTCACCTTCAAGTCTACCTTCTCATCTGGACTGCAGAGGTCTCAGCTGAAGCAAACAATTACAATACAAATAAAGTCTTCAGCACCTGACAACAGTGAACTCTTAGTTTCTTCTCTCTATTCAGAAAATAAATGTTGTCTTGGGAGGATTTTTATCCCCTGCCAAGTCTGACAGGCTTTTCCTAAATTCCCCACCCCAAAACTCCCTGAAAAGGATGCCAGTTAAATATCAGTCGCCACCACCTTTCCAGCGACAGAAGTGCTGGTTCTCCATGTAGCTGTTGTGCAGCTGGTAGCCCTTCAGGAAATTGTGGTGCTGGGCCACGGAGAAGCGGTCGGTCAGCGCTCCCCGAAGGGCGCTGGACAGGGGGCCAGGCGGGGTGTACATGCGAGTCCTCAGCTCGTGGGGTCTTGTGGGCAGCACCGGGTCCTCATCTACAGCAGGGGAGAAAAACTGGTGAACTGTGTGGTAAATAATGTTCCTTTCTGGCTGCCCTGGTGCAAAGGAGTTCTCAGAGGCTCTTCTGGGATGATTCCCTAAGCACACACAAACTCTTCTGAGGGAAAGGAATGGATGCTGGACAAAACTCTGCTGATGGTCTTAAGCTTTGGGCTGAAGACAGTTCATCAGAAGCAATCTTTAGTCATGGAAAAAGGACACCTTAAGGAAATAAAGCAATTCAGAAAATGTTCTGTCAAAACTTAAATATCCTCACAGGAAGATAACATGAAACAGACACAAGCATGGAGAAAATGGGGCTGATGAATAGGCTACTGCTCAGTCAGATGGGCAACAACAGCAACCACGGGGGCCATTGCAACAGTGACAGCTGCAACCCAATAATCACTCATGGCTACATGAGCATATGCTTAATCAGCAGAGTGAGAGCACCCCAGGAAAACCTGTGGCATACATTCATATTCAGAAACTATGGGTAGTTTAGGGGGTGGGTAGATGGCACATGGGTGAAAAGCTGAAATATGGCACAAGGTGTGGTTTCCAGAAATGACAATGTGCTTTGCCAGCCTGAGAGGCTGACAGTGGAGCAGGAGAGACATGGTGGTTTCCACGATTGCACATTGTATTTCTGTATTTTTCAGGATGTCTGTAATTATATTTACTATCATCTCAAGTGATTTAGCAACAAAATCACAGTTTCTGTATTGCTTCAGAAAATACCCTCAGGGCCTCATTTATCTTTGTGTCAGTATGAATACAATGCAGTAATTACTGTACTGAGTAATAAAATAAAAACCCAGGAAACCTTGATTAACCAGTTGATATTAAGGTTTATTCTCCTCATAGGCAGTAAAAAGTACCAAATTCTCTGCTGTTGGTTCTTGGTTCTGTATGGCTAAGTGAGAGCTGTAACGCCAGAACACTTCCTGAGGAATGTGTGACCCCTCTAAAACTTTCTTTGAAGGAACCAGTAGAGCTTTAGTAATTGTTGTAATTACAGCAGCTTTTCCCTGATTACTCTCTTCCTCTTACTCTGTTCAGTGTGAGAAGTCACTATCTCTGAGTAAGACCCTATGACACCAGCTTCAGCAAAGTTGACAAGATGATGCCAAAAGCCACACATGAAAATAAATGACCATAAATGAAATTTATGAAATTTCTCACCAACTTCATCTATTCTGTCTTGCGTCCATCTCTTCCAGAAGTCCTCTGAACTGTGGGACAGGCCCCATATTTGTAAAAGGTTTACAGAAAATATACTGCTCCACATACCTGTAAAAGTAAACAGTGAACAGAAGGACACATCTTAACAAGAAAATTCCCTTTTCCTTCTTTTCCTTCTATTTTGACCTCCTGGCTTTTTTTTTTTAATGGGCTTAATACAAATATTTCTAAACTTCCATGCTGTTAAATTCCTCTTAACGGTCTATGTCATTGACTCAGGTCATGCTACCACCAACTTTGTGCCTAACCTACTACATGGCTCTGCCACATGGCAAAGAGAGGAAAGAAAGTGAGGCAAGTAAAGGAGAAAAGAGACACATTTGCTCAAGAGGCAAAATAAAGAATTCAGACAACACATACAGCACAAACACATAATTTCCATCCCCATCTTCCTTTCTCCAGCTTGACTTTTTCTGCACATACTCTGACCAGTAACTCTTTCAAACACCCTAAACTGTTTCACAAAGGGATGAACTGGCTTTTCAGATGTTTGTTTGTAAGACAAGATCTCACATTACAGCTTGAAAAGGCTCACACATGCAATGGCCTCCAGCTCCACTGTGCACTCTTTTCTCCATCCAGGATTACCCCTCTCTGTCTCACCACAGGGGCACTGGTGGCCTTGTTGACAAAACAGTGTCACTATATCACCAGTCACTGTAAATTTGAATCTGACTATCACAATTAGACTCAGGTTGGAGTGCATTCAGAGAGGAATCAGAAGAATAACCAAAGAAGTGAGAGCTACAATTACTTACAATGAAAGAATTAAGGATTTTCATCTATTCCATCTCTAAGACACAGACAACTCATCTACCAAGACAGTGACAAGAAACTGAAAAAATATGCATGTTTTTTTACTGTATTCTTTTGGATAAACTACTACTCCCATTTCCCAGCAGGCAGCATTCGGTATGTTAGGACAGAACTATCTGCCCACTGGTTAACAGCGTTGCACCCCTCCAGAGTGCCTCTGTGCCAGGACAACACTATACATCACCTTGAAGGTAGCAGATGCGGGATTCGGGGAGCTTTTTTAACATGCGGCCCATGAAGAACTCGCTTCCGAAATGCTCCGTGCGAACAAACGCGCCGTACTTCAGCAGTCCCACCTCGTAGGGAGTGAACTCCACCCACTCTGCAATACAGCCACAGCAGGACACTCAGAGGGCTCCCAGACAGGTGTGGGGAGAGGGGAAGCTTGGGCATACATTGCTGTGAGTTATGTCTAATATGTTGCCTTTGTAAAGCCTCACTCTTAAATGCAGATCTCCAGGGAGGTGTCTGAGCTTGGGCATGGTGGCGATGCGGAGGCAGGAGCAGTTGTGCTGGTCATGGTGATGCTGCTGGTGGCACAAGTGGCACGCTGGGGGCATGGCAAGGCTCTAGGCCTTGCACACCCTGTGTGCACACACCTGCCCGGGTTCTCCAGCACTTAGGTAGTTTTGCTCTGCCCTTCCGCACGCCATGTCCAGGTGACCAGTACTTTACCAATACAGTTAATTTATCTTCACTAAATAATTGTTTATGTACAAAGATGGGTACTCAGTTCCTCAGAAATTATTTTTTCTGTAAGAGATCAATTATACTCTCTCTGTGTGGTACTAATGGAAACAGAACTAGTTCTTGACTCTCTTGGACATCCTCTCAAGTGAAGTGCAGTTGTCTGATTTAACTGCAGTGTGAGTGAAAACTGGGACAGAAATGTCATGGACTGTAATTTCATTTTCATTTCAGAAATGGTTCATTTTCTTGCCTCAACAAATTTGATCTGAATTTTTCTCTTACCCTTCTCCTCCTTCTGACCCTCCACAGGAAAGAAACACTACCAAACAAAACAATGAGAAAAGCAACAGATTCAGTTGGGAGCGTTCCCAAACTCTACCACAACTATGTGGTCATTCTTCATACTGAAACAATAACTGACCATTGAGAAAAAGCAATTATTGGATAATTCCAATATTTCTCAAAATGGCCTTTCTGGCAGAATTTCTACTGTGTATGCTGAGACAGGAAAATGCTGCTCCCCAAAACCCTTGTATTAAAATTGTAAGGTATGGTTATTTCTCCAAAGAGCAACTAACACATCAGGATCGTTTTCTCCAAGTGCTACCGAGAAGAGTGATGACAGGAATTCAGCTGCCAATTTTAGCCTCAGAGGACCCAAACCAACATCCTTACCTTTGAAATCATTGGTGCTGTAACTGTCCCGGACGCAGACTGACACATAGATGGGCAGTGGGTTCTGGCCATCACACAGTGCTTCTTGCTGATCTGAAAGCTTGTGGGGGTCTTTCTGGTTTTGAAGAAAAAGTGTTAGGTGAGAGGAGGTGGAAAGGATACATGGTGAATTCACTGACCCTGGTGTGGGAGGAGCCGGGCAGCTCCAGCCCCAGCACGCAGGACGTGCCCCAGCAGCTCCACCACATGGAGCACTGCAGGTACCCCCACCAACCACCACAGACCAGGCTCCCGGGCTCCAGCCTGGCTTTGTGCATGGATTCACAAAAAGACAAGGAGGGAGACAACTATTTCTGCACACGTCTATGATTGGGTGAACCAAAAACACTATAATATGCTATATTGTTAACACAGAGATTTCCCCTATGCTTTGAGGTACTTTCTCTGAAATGATGGACTAGTTTTCTCTCCATCCACTGAGGGAAAAACACATGGTTCTTTAAGAAATGGAATACACATCATACCCCATCATTTAGTAAGTACTCAATCATGAGACCCCAAAGATCTATAAATGATGTCCTGTATCCCTCCTCTTTCCTCTGGCAAAGCTGCTTGTTGTAGTACTTCATGCGATCCATAGAGAAACAGCCCATCTTGCATTTTGTTGCTTGTTTTTGGGCTTCACCAATATGTGAGTCCAGGTCCTTCTGTGACCAGTAGGCATCTCTGTATAAGTTGGCCATGGTCCTGGAGAATGACAATACAGATAGCAAAAGTCAAAAGGAGCATAAAAAGATTGGAAATTTTGTGCTTTCAGAGCAGAGGTTTACATTTAGGGATTCCCTTCTGCTCACACATACTCTGGTTTAGCTACTCCATCCAGCAGAATGAACACTTCAGTTTCTATGATTGTTTTTAAAAATGGCCCTGAAGAATGAGGTGGGGTTTTTATGTTCTTAACCTTCTATTTCTTTTAAGTAGAACTGGCAGAAGCTTAAGGGATAAAACTGCCAGGTGTGAACATAGATATGTCTGTGAAGCATAAATTAGGCAGAAAATTATAATAAATTTTCTTTGCTTGTTTTTCAGAACCTTAAATTCATTCATATTAGCTGCTGTCTCTTGCCTTGATTCACTTAGTGTTAATCTTATGTATCACTATGCTTTTTTTAAGCATCAACCTCTATTTTACCAAACCCCTCTGCATGGGACAATCAGACAACAGGCAGCTGTAGGTCCTGTGAGCAGGGAATAACACTGTTCAGGGAAACACAAAACTGGCAGGTTGCACGGGTCAGTGTGCACTGTCCAGCAGTTTTTTCCAGCTAGAAATCAGAGCCAGTATCAGAAGCTAATAGGACCACAATAGCTGGGATTCAGTGGAGAAAGGAAGAGGCATGATGCTATGGGCATCCACAGTAACTCTTTACCTAGAAAGCATCTTGGTGAGTGTAATTGTCATATGCACGTTTAACTGCTGCACATGTGGAGTTGATAAGCACAGTAAAGAACTGCTTATAGAAAAAGCATGCACTAAATCAAGCTAGTGTTTAATGGCCTGTTACTGAGAAACTTGATTATATGATGTTTGAAGAAAATCTCCTGATCTTGTCTGCTTTTAGAAGCTACTCTCTGCAGCAGTGTGACCCTCAGAAGGCCTGGTCAAGCCTCCTGCTCGAGCTGGCTTACCACGTGGTGCCGGACAGCCCGCTGATGTATGTTATACAGTCCAGGAGATTTAACTTCTTCAGTCCCATGAGGCTGCCATACAACCCTGTCATTGACTTCAGACCTCCGCCTGTCGTGATGATAGCCACGACAGGAACCTGTTGGGCAGAGGGAGGATGGGACATTCACACTGACAGCATTCAACACTGCAGCCCACACTGCAATGGGGTCTGGTCACCACAGCCAGCCCAGGTCCTGATCTCAGAGCCCAGGTCTCTTTTTGGAAGGAAAGATTCCAAAACCCAGCAACAACTGCTACTGCCACTTATTTCCTTTTGGATAAATATTGGTTCAGAGATTAACCCAAACTTGGATTCTTGCCCATCTCCAAGGCAAATACAGGCACAGATGAACAAGAAGAAACCTTCTGTGGAAACAGCAATGCACCACTCTTATTTCACATATTGATAACTTCTGTATGAAAATTTGCATGCCAATCCCATGAAGAAGTACACTCAGTTCACAGCTACTGTTAAGCTACCCTCAGCAATGCTGCTATTCTTCAGCATCTTGAGGTTATTTTAAAATAAATTGCATTTATTTTAAGGAATTTCAAAACCGCAATAAACAGAAGATATAAGAAGCACTCAAAGATGTTTGTCCTAAACTCTCACAAAGTAGTGAAACTGGAATAAGGGAAAAAAATCTTTGCTGTGGAATGTATTCAGTATTTCTGAACCAAGGCAGTGACAGCTTAGCCTGGCAGGAATGAACACACCTCAACCATGAAAAATTCCAAATTGACAATAATGAAGGATGGTGACTGCAACTAATGTTTTCAATAACAAACCTTGGCAGCAGAAGCAAATGTACTTAAGGCACATGGACCAGCTGGTACCTGCACAACAGATAGGTGTGGCCTGTTTTGCTGACCACTCATTTACAGGAGTACATGAAAGCACTAGAGATTCAAGTTCTGTCCCCTCAGCACGTACTTCTTGATCCTGCAGATCATGTGGTAGGTGAAAAACATTTTTGAGAGCACTTGCTACATATCTCTTTCTTTTCCCCAGGAAAGCCATCTCTTCAGAACATAAGTTAAACCCAAAGCGCATGTCCAGGTCTTGATGGCACAAACAATTGCTAAGATAAAAACAAACACATATATTAAATATTAACACACCCATCTCAATCTTAGGACGTTGATCAAAGATAATCTACAGCACCCTTCCCTTCAAACAGGATGATGCAACATGACAGCAGCAAGAGAGAATAATTTTATTATTTTTAAAAGTATGAAACTCATGTCAATTAGTAAGACTAACTAGTGTCATTATTCCTAATTATTGCTAATTGGAAGAAACTATGTACAGTATTTACAAATAAAAAATATTTAAATAAATATTCTACAATTAGAAGATTGACAAGCTTAGAAAATCCATGGAAATGGTCAGAAGTGAAAGTATCGATTCCCATTTCACAGGTTATTTTCTCATTCAAAATCTGAAATAACACCTAATTTTCAAAGGCTGGCATATTCAATGTGAATGAAAATTCTCCTTTTGAGCAACTGGCATGGGAACGCACCCCCCTCTAGCGGTGAGCACCTCTGGGGAGGGTGGCAGCGGAGCCCAGCTTGGCGGAGAGACCTCGGTGCCATCAGCCCCTGGACGGGCAGGGAAGGGTCACTGGGCAGGACTCACCCCTGCTGCCCTGTGTGCCTACTCGTGCACAGGCTGCCTCAGGGATCAGGGCTGCAAGTTCTATGCCACATCAACCCTGACTAAAAAATTGTAAAGCACGTCTTCTCCCAGAGGAAGATTTCACTGGAGTCTATTTTAAATTTGAGCAAGTCATTGCTTAACGCCCCACAATTGCAGTTTATTTCCCTGGGCATTTTGGCTTTTCTGCTCACTAATCTCCCTTCTAGCTCTTCCTGCCCTGCTCCTACAAGACATCAATAGGCAAGAGATGGTCATGGTCAGGTCAGAGCTACATTGCCAAATGCCAGAGGTTTGCTTTTTCTTCCAATGACGGAACCTCTCTCTTCTACTGGGTCCATAATGTCGATGAAACTAGTAAAGAAATTTAATTATCAGCTTTTTCCATCACCAGATTTGGATAAAATCACACTAATTATCATAACTTTATTTGTAAATGAAGACACACAATGGGAATTGAGTTAGGTGGAGCTGCAAAAGCCAGTTTCTATTATAAATCAAGATCTAAACAAACAGTTTCTAAAGTTCTCTGAAAGTAAAATAAATAAGCAGGAAGTGTTTTTCCTGTTGCGGTATAATGCTGATTTTCCTGTTATCACTGACCACTTGCTGTTTTGAAATGAATGGCAGAAAACTCTTTTTGAATTAAAAATTATTTTCCTTTTATTTCTTAGTCAGACACACACACAAAAATGCCAGTTTGCCCAGTTCTGTGTGTTCCATACAACTATGGATAACCTGAAGTATCTCCATGTATACTGATGAGTATTAGCAAGCATGTCTACAGATGTCAAACCACAAGTTAACTTGTTTACCTTAGTTTCTACTCAACATGTAGTATAACTAGACTTAACAGAATACAAGGTTCATCACCATTGAATATTGACAATAAAGCAAAAAATAATTCTTAATCCCTGATTAAACTTAATGTTTACATCTGACTATTCTTCTTCTGTCATTGTGAGCTAGCTTTGTTCTTTTTGTTAATTTCAGAGACTGACACTGACCAAAGAAAATATTCTGTGCTCAGAAAGAAAGGAATAAAACTTAAATAAACATATGTTTATTTTAATGTTTTATCAACTGATTAAAGTAAAATCTTCCTAAGGTTAATTATGTATTATATATTGTGCATGTATTTTATGTTTTATTATAAGCACATTCTAGTTTTCAGACTGAGAATGCTTGTTTGTATCATTTCCATTTGGCTAAAACAATATCAATTATCCAAGTCTTAAGGAATAGAAGAAAATCTCTTACCAAGCTTTTGCTGTCACATTCAAGTCAAATCTTTTCTCCTGGAAAACAAGAATGTGTAATTTTTTAATTTTGAATTTTCTATTTTCCCTCTCTGTCTTGGGGTCAGAGCTTGATTTATAACCCAGCAACGTTTGGCAGTCACAAACTTAAATGTCTGAGATCTTGGCATATATTTCCAAAAGCATTCACTTATCATTAGTGGAACATCCCTCCCTACGGATCCTAAATCCTCCCAGGCTGCAGAAACCATTAAGCATCCTGGTATAAGAGGTTTCTGAGACTCACACAGTAGGTCCCATTTCCTGTACGACTCATAAGCTTTCTGCAGCATCCTGAATTACCAGTTTTTGTGTGCTTTCCATTCTTCATGCTCTAGTACACAGCACATCTTTGACATCCTGGCCATAGTTTCACAGCAAAGAGACTGCAAAGTCTGCATTTGCTTCTGCACACACTTTATACTCTCTTAAAAATCATTATTTCAATCTTCATATTAAGTTACAAAATGTGCTTTGTTCTGAGAGGATATCTTAATGGCTCTTTTAAATCAATAGTCTCATTATATTATTTAAAATATATACCCTATGACTAATATCTTCAGCATATTTCAATATATTGTCCTCTTAAATATATGGTTGACTAAGGAAAGGTTTATTGATGTTTTTCTATTTAGTGCCCGAGGAGAAGCTTTCAGTTTGGACCCTAAGCAAAAGAGGAGTCAGTGAGTCTTTAGGTAAACAGGGGGAGGTGTTCTGAAGGAAGTATGATACTTTCTTACATCCTTGTACTTCTCTGTCTCCACTACTGGCACATAATGGAGATTAATACAGGGGAGACAACTTGCCTCTGTGGAGAAAACATCTGGAGAAACAAAGCTCCTGTTTTCTCAAAGTCTAATAGAAAATCAGAACATTTCTGACAATCTTAGTGGCCATATCGGACAACTTTATGAGGAATAGTTTCTATTTGAGTGACCCTTTATTACCAACAGCTGGAATGGATGCTCACCTCTGCAATGGTTGTTTTCCTTCCCATGGGCAGCGAGTTCAGCATCACGACTGGGGAGCCCGTCTCTGTACTGTACCTACAGGACCACTGGGAAAACAACATGCTTTAGGACACAACCAGGAACGGGTTTACCCACTCTCCTTCCTCCCACTTTCTTGAGAGCCACTCAAAATCCCTCCATCACTGAGGCCACTCCAACATACAGGGTGGTAGCGCCTCTTCTTTGGCAGCATGACATCCAGCGTTGGCTCCGTGTACTTGATGTAGTGGAACTCGGTGGGACACGCTGGGCTGACGACTCCATTGGGGCCCAGCACGATATCCTGTGTCCCCTCAAAAGAGCCCTTCACAGTCAGGGAAAGTTCTTTCTCTAAAGCAGCACAACAAAGATTAATATGATTAACCAGAAATATATGCTAGCTTGATTAAAAGTCGGGTGCAGGTGGCATGGCTTTGCCCAGGGAAAAGCACTGGCACTACAGGGAAAAGAGCCAAGTAGATGCTCTTCTGATAGAAAGGGGACTCTGAATATTCCTGCTGTGATATAAAACTGGGATTTCAACTTCATTGTGTGTTTAATAGGCCTTGTTAACATATATCTAGATGAGGTCATTGGAGTCTGTAACAACCTAATGTATTTACCTGACATTAACTTCACTGAATACTGTAAGCACTGTGTATTTCACTAACACATTATATGGAAGGGGCATCTTCTCATAAGTAAGCATGCAACTACTGGTAAGTAGATGACAAAGAAATAATCTTACTTGATTTTTGCTTCGTCTTCTCTGCCACTTCAACTTCCAAGCAGCAAAGTTCACGACACTGAAAGACAGATTGCAGAATTTTGTGAGAAAGATCATCACATCTCATCCTCATTATAGTGAGCTGTGAAACCCTCAGCTTAGAGTAACTTGGAGTTCTGAATTCCCTGGTGTCTCTGGGGTTTTTCCCGTTAGCTGCTGACTAAGGAAAAGCTTTGGAGGGAGTTGTAGGAATTGCATGTGTGACAATGACTTAAGATTGAGCACAGTGAGAGGACTATACAAAGGAAAAAAATCAGGACCATTTTCATGATAGTAGCATGGGTTTGTATTGTTCTGTATTGATGTAACCCTTTGAGCACAGTGAGAGGAATATACAAAGGAAAAAAATCAGGACCATTTTCGTGATAGTAGCATGAATACAAAGGGTTAAACCAGGAAATAAATAAAGATGTGTCCTGAGAGATCAAGAGTTAGCAGTAGGAAGGGTTTTCTGAAGAAGCATTTCTTTTAGCATTTTGAGGGTTGATTTCTTTTTTTATGGTGCTCACTCTTCTTCAACATAATGTGTTTTTGTACTAGTACCAGAGAAAAATTCTGTGTGTGTGTGTGTGTGGTGTGGTAAAGTATAGGAAAAATCAGAAATAGGGAAGTATAGGACAAATGGGATATCTCCAATGAAAAGTAAATAAAATGTCCCATTCTGAATGTATCTAAATAGGAAAGAAAGAGAAAGAACTGGCCGACTGGCTTTTTTAACCCCCACCCTCCCTTTTCCTCTACATTAAGGAATCATTTATAGAAAATATCTTGGGAAAGACACATACCACCAGCACTCCATTGGTAGCAATCATTTCATGAGGACCAGGTCTGGAAAACAAAATTAAAAACATGGATTTTTTAAAGTTAAGCAAATCCCACTCATCTTTACCCAGGATGTTGCCCTTTCTTCCCTCTTAAAAAAACCCAACAGTCTGATGGGACCCCAGCAAGCATGTAACAAGCTCCTTTCCTTGCCTGCATGGACTGAGCATTTCTCTGAGGAGACTCATCACTGTACCAAAGCTGAGCAATGCGTAACACGGTTATTTTTATACAGTGCAATCTCATGATCATCTAAAATGGAATCTCCTGTTAGGCAGTCAAATTATTCTCACAGTAATGTGTGAAATAAATGTATTTCAGCTGATACACCAGTATGTCCTTGTTGGGAAGACAGTTATACATATTTGCTGGCATCCAAATATTCTGAGTTGCAGGGGACCCATGAGGATCCACACCAAGTCCAACTCCTGGCCCTGCACAGGAGAACCCCAAGAATCACACCACATGCCCGAGAGCATTGTCCAAACGCTTCCTGAACTCTAGCAGGCTGGTGCTGTGACCACTTCCCTGGGGAGCCTGTTTCAAAGCGGCACAGAGCAGCCAGTACCAATTACATGGGAAAAAAACCCAAAAGCTTTCCAGATCATTCCAGTGAAGTCAGGAGATGGTGTGGAGCAACTTGACTTCTGGCCTTGGCTCTCCAATAGTATAAGAGCTGGCCTTAGCCAGTCACTTTATTTCTGCCATGATTTAGCTACCTTGTGGCAACACAGAAACAACAATAGTGATTCATGGGTGGCAGGCTGACCATGCTGGAGAGGGAGCCTTGCATCCTTACAAGAGCTCCCATCCCACAGTGATTGTATTAAGCAGAAGGAAAACACAAATGCTAGCAGTCAAAGAGTACTGCAAGGGAAAACAGAAGGAATAGGAGATACTCTGAAAACCTAACAAAACCTAACTAGGATGTTTCAACACTAAAACGGTGTCAAATACATAACCTGAAACAAGCAAGGAAAAATAGATAGGCAGGAATGCTCGCACACTCAGAAAGCCTTCTGAAATGTCCCCAGATAGATAAATCATATAATTATAGAATAGTTTGGGTAGGAAGGGATCTTAAAGGTCATCTAGTTCTAATCCCCTGCCATGGGCAGGGACACCTTCCGCTAGACCAGGTTGCTCAAAGCTCCATCCAGCATGACCTTGAACAGTTCCAGGGATGGGGCATCCACACAGTTCTCTGGGTAACTGGTAGGTGCATCATCGAGAGCAGCCAAACTACAGAACAAGCTAATCCGTCAGCTGTTGGGGACTGCAGCAATAATATAGGAAAAGGCTGGGCCTTTTTACAGAAATACTCAAAGCATGACATCTAATATTGTTTTTTTGTTTTATCATTAATGATTTTTGCATTTTTAAATAATTTCTGTATTACTTACGCGACCTCCAATTTGAATTCAACCTCTAGTTCCTCCTTGGCCTGAAAGCAAGAAGATATTAAATGAAGTAGCTACATAATGCTTTGTCCCTTAGTCTAAACCCAAGTCCCTGACAGGCAATAATGAAGTTATTGGTTGTAATGAGTAGCCTGTGATAAATACTTCAGACTGGGTGGTCTGAATCAACAATTCAGTCAGATGATTAAATGATTCCTTCCTCATCTCCTTCTGACTTCACAATATCATCAAAACAATCTCTATTTCTTAGTGTGAAGCTGCTGCAAAAAAACCCAGTTTCCGTCTTCCTATATTTCCTGACTTCCACCCTTTTCTTCCAACTATTCCTGTCACTGTCCTGCCATGACTTACTGTACTGGCTATTATCTTGGAAATGAAACATACTTTACACCCATTACTTTACCATAATAGACAAGAACAGTGAGTGATTCAGAATTAGTGTTATGCAACGCCGAGTAAGGCAGTGTTGATGTGTACAAGCTGATTGTGAATGACCTAGTTTGGATACCAGAACCTGTCCCTGGTAGCAAGAAGTTGTATGTGAGATATTTTGCTGATCTCATCCTTAGATCTCAAAGGGAATCAAGATTATTTTTCCCATTTTACAGATGGGAAACTGAGAAAGAGAGTGAATCGTCATCCATTCATAGTGGGATACACACTATGTATGTGTGGGGCAAATTAATCTTTGACTTTTGGGGTGAAAGTAGACACAAGAACAGGGGTAGGGGTTTATGAATTATGGGAATTACTCAGGTTATGAATTACATGGTAAAAAATACGCAGATTATTCACCCTGCACCATGGCCTTGGTGTTGCTCAGAGGTAGCTCACAATTAGATCCCTCCCCTACCTACTGCACTGTTTCATCCCTATGATCTTTAGTAATTTATAAAATATTGCAAAGAAGACTCTCAAATTCAGATTTTTTTAGCCAAATTTTTGTGGTTATAATTTGAATGGCAATTAATGTACTCATTATTAGGATAAGTTATCCATGCCAGGTTCAGAACGATTTTGAAACTGTTCTGTAACTCTCCACTGGTTTCTCAGTTGCTTTAGATTCTTAGTTGCTCTCACATCTGGGCTAGGCTTGAAGTACAAGATCACTGTTCTTTCAAGTGGAAGTTTAGCAGTATCAAAGAGTGCACAGAGGAGGTGGTCATCTGGAGTAGCAAAATCCTCATCATACACCGTGAGCTCCAGCACGTTCTGGAAAAAGAGGAAGAAGAATTTGTTATAGTTTCTCAGGCTGGACATCATTAGCTCCAGGCAAAAAGTATTGCTGAGGATGAGCTTGAGAAGAAAAGTTGAGAAATTAAACATCAGCCCCCCCTTAAAAAAACATACTTGAACGGCATTATTAATTCTTGTTTAGTTCACTTTAATTGCTGTAATGAAATACATTGGTTATGCCTATACAACAGCTTGGGTAACTCCCAGATTCTGTATCCATCTGGCATCAACCTGTAAGAGTCTCTTGTTTCCCTAAAATTTCAAAACTGAGGTCACTTTTTGGCCCTCCTACCTAGCACCATGAACAGACACAGGAACTCTGTCATCTCTGCTGTTAAATGCTTTGAACATTCCTTTATCGTGTGCCATCTTTTAAACAATTCTTGGGCACAGTTCAGGAGATACATGCATGAAATATTCAGGTTGCTTCAAGCAGACAACTTTGGCTCCTTACCTTGACTTGACTCTGGATTCTGAAGTAGAAGGTTTCGTTCCACACTGGATTGTCAGAGTTTCTCACAGTTTTAGTGCGTGACCTTTCACATGTCGCAGTCGGCAGCCACAAGGACACGTAGCAATCAGCCTGGCTTACTGGGCAGGGGAGAAAACAATTGCTAATTGGCAAAGGCAGCAGAGCTGCAGGACACTGGAGAGGTTACTGCAGCTACTGGTACCAAAACCAAGCATAAGTTATTTAAAGATAGAAAAGCCTGATGCAATGTAACTTTCCAGGATTCCCTTCTGAGAGGGAAAAAGCACTGACCACAAAATGACCTAGAAGAGGAGGTGGCTTCTGTTCTTCCTTGCATGAGTTACAGACAACACTGATATTGTGTATTGAAAAAAAAAAAAGCTGAGAATTTTTTCTTCTAGTCAGCCACTTCATTTTCTCAGCCAACAAGCTCTCCTGTGCTCATGTGTGCCTGTACACACACACACACAAACCCTGAGCTGCTGTCTGATAAGAGGGTTTGGGACCCTCCTCCACTTTTTGAGAACAACTGCAAAAGGTCTTCATCTCTGCCTTGCCCTCAGTGATGTTCTTTGTGAGAGTTTGTGAAAGGAGCTGCAGAACTACACCTGCTGTATGAGATGGCAGAGGCTTCCTCCAGAAGAAGCTCACTGAATTGGACATTGGAATTTAACTAACTGCCACCTACAGGAAGAAGGGGGACTAAGTCTCTCTCCCAAAAGGCACCAGGAGAAAGTTGGTGAAGGATTTTACATCCCCTTTCTCACAGGTACCTAAATTAAGGTATATCTCAAACAGCTACAGACAAAACTGCCATTTACTGTGTTTCTTCTTAGAGGTTATGCAAGGTACTTTGGGTCCTTGAAAACCTCTCTAATGTAGTTGTCAACAATAAAATGATCAGCTCTTATGTAATGCAAAAGGTAACTAGCTTTGAGAAGGGATGTCCTGTGATGTGAGACTTTTGAGAGAGACAAGTGATGGCAGCAGTAAATGGAGAAGATCCTCCAGCAGCAGGTAAGGACTCTGCAGGCAGAGCAGGGAACAGGAGCTTGTACACCGACCTGTGGGGAAAAGCAAAATCTTGCCTGTCTGCAACAGGACCTTTTTTTCTTCTTGTTTTCTTTCCTTCTCCTCCAGGTTTTGCCCCATGTCACCCTACAGCTACTGACTCTCTCAAACTGGTTGGAGGCTGCATTTTATGCTGTTGAAAGTATTCAAGAAGCCTTGCTGCTTTTCTGTCCAAGTGAGAGGGAAAAAATTCCAGAACTGCTTGAAAAATGATATATGAATTGTGATAGGTCAATAGACACCATAATTGTTGGTTTTCAACTTTTTAACATTACAATGCAGAAATAACAACAACAAAGTTTAATTCTGTCAACTGTTTTTTCTAAAAAAAGTTGTTGAGAAATCTACATATTCCTACTGAGTAAAAAAAGAATTCCTTCACTGGAGAAGTTTGTTTGGAAAATATTGAGTAGGCCCTAGCCTTCTGCCTGTCTTGCTCTCTTTCACATTTCATATCTTAGTTTGCCTTTAAAAATGAGATTCTGACAGCAATTTTACTCTACTTGTCTAGAGCCAAATCATCTGCTTTAATTCCACCTTCCCACCACTCTTGCTTCTTAGCCTCCTTGTCGAAAATGAATCCTTATTCACTTTCTTTGCCTCTTCCTTTTTGTAGCGAGAGCTTCCATGTCCTTCTCAATAATTTCACTTTCACTCTTAAGGACTGTAGATTATTCAGTCCCTCTAGATGTAAAAGTTGTTTCAAGTTATTTTGTTTCCTCAAGTGTTTTTTAATTTCTTTTTAATCTGGGAAATTCCATGCAGACAATAACGCTTTGAGGAATTTTGAAACTGCAAAAATATGTATTTGAATATATCTGGATAATCTAGAAGTAATGCTACTGATTTTAAAATGCATTAAAGGTGATTTTTTGTAACTACTATATGACTTTGTTTTATCATTCAAGATCAATGACTGATGGCTGTTTGGCTGGCAAATACCTTATTCTGCTGATGTGATTCATCATTCCTGTATATCTTAACTGTACTTTGAGATACAAAGCATATCAAGCAATCCTTAATTATATGAGTAGATGCAGCCAAACTAGTCAGCTGTGTATTTAATGCAAAATGTTGCCTCAGCTCTGCTTGCACAATCTGTTTCTACAACCTCATGATTTGCCTTGCTGCCTGACACGCAGAAGATCTGAGATGAGTCCCTGATGAGACCTTTTTGTGCTCTTGCTTCACCACACGTGCCACAGCCATGGACCAGGAGAGAGGTGCAGCCCAGTGATGGGACCTGGGATGCAGCTGTTGTCTGCTGTATCCTAGGTCCCATCCTGTATCCTCACTCAGAGCTGTGACACAGGGAAGTCCTCTGATACATCTTCCAGAAAAACCACAAGGTAAGACAGGAATGGTACTGCATGGTAAATCCAGATCTTTGTCTCTCAAAAAATCTTTCCTGACACTTCATGTGCAGGACGTTATAGAGTCAATCACTGCTGCTTACAGCGAATCGTGAGGGTTACATCATTTCCCTCCCAAGCTCACTCAAACTAATTTCAGCATCCTTTCACAGGTAGTCACAGAGCTCTATTTACTCAAACAAAACAAACTGTTAACTTGTCTATTTTGTGTGGAACACCTCTCCACAGCACACATGTAGATAGTCCATGTTCTTTTACAAAACAGTGGTGTTTTCCTTTCCAACTTACTCCCTTCCCACCACTTTCCTGCCGCATGACTCACACTCTTGCTCAACTGCAAGTCTGCTGCAGAAGCCTTAGAAAGGACCAGCCTCAGTTAGTATGTTTATTTAACTGTTCTCAGGGTAATTAATGGTGGCATTAGCCTGCTCATAATGATTGTAAAAAGCTTTTTCCTGTTCAATTCTTCTTTGTCAGAATCAAGACAGGATGTTGAAAAAGTTTGCTCCTCCCAGCCACATTTCCCAAGGTGCTACAACCCATCAGCAGAATTACCCCTTGTTTTTGAAAACATGGAATAGAGTCTTTCATCTACCTCTGTCAGAAACTCTCCTTTCTTTGGCAGAAAGTACTTATTCCCAAAAACACATTCAAGTCTTGAAACCAGTCAGAAAGCACAGGGAGAACGATGGAACAGCAGCAAGCAGCAAGGACTAACCTGGTTTATAACAATTCATTTACATAAACACTGGGTTATTTCAGAAACACTAAGAAAAGGTTATTACAATTAAAAAAGATACAATTTGCCTGTTTCCTGAGTTACCACTAAGAACGAAGACACTTACAGGCATCCACTCTCTGGAGATTTCTCATCCGGATGATCCTTACGGTCAACAGGTAGCAAGGAGAGGATTCTATCTAGAGAGGAACAGTAAAAAGGGGGTCTGAATAAGCCTTTGGTGGGAAAAAAAATTCAAATGTGCAAACTAATTGCCACAAAGCACAAATACAGTTAGTAAAACAATGGTCAATTATCTCACTATTTTGAAGAATTAAGCTTCTGCTGTTAAAAATGTCTTAACGTTTCATATATTTCACTGTCTTTTTGCTTTGTTACTCTGAGGTTCCAGATTGCTCATCAGAGCAGAAAAGACTCTGAATTCTAAAAAGGAATAAATCCCTGACAATTTACATAGCCTGTGAGATGCTTGCAAAACCTTTCACTCTGAAATTGCTGAGTCTAGGCTACAACATAACTACAGTAAGTCTCTTGAACAGATTAAATGCACTGGTGGGCACCACGATGAAGTTGTCAAAATGCCATCAGCCTTAGTAAGAGTTACAGTCAATCCCCCTAGTATCCACCCATATGGTCCTACAGCATTGAAAAAAAATGCTGTGGAGAAGAATATCTGTTGTTGTGGACTCCCATGGGATAAACCCAAAGTATCACTTTTTAAAAGTGTTTTTCTGCTTCAGAAACATAGATTCATTGCAATTTATAATTGTACAAGAAAAACAGTAATAGTAATGTAAACTTTTGTAAATCACAACTATGAGATAAGCCAATGGCTGCAAATTGTTTCCAGAGGATTTAGGATCCAAAGATTTAGGTATGGGTTGCTTTGGAGAAAAATAAAGCATACTACCTTCCTCCAAGAAAACTGTGAAAACTGAAAGTGCTAAACTTCCTTTGTTCCCTTTAAATATCTCGGCCTTAATCTTCCATAACACAAGTCTCTCCAGGTTTTGTGGCTGCAGGGACCTCTTCCTATTTATTATTAGAAGACAAATGTGAGTTCCTTCTTCTAAGGAGCACGATTTCCTGCTGGCTCATTCCATAAACCTGTCTTTGGCTCAGAGCTATCTGCAAAAGGTTATTTTGACCAAGCCAATAAATAAATCAGCATTTCCTGTGGCTATGACACATGGTTATTTCCTCACACTCCTAGAAACGTTTCCACCTGCATAAGTGGTTACAGCAGAGCCCCACAAATCATTCTTTTTGACAATTGCTATTTTTATAAAGAGGTTTCCTCTCATTTAGAAGCATCCTTCTATTTCTATAGCACTTCAGAGACTTCCTATAACCATTATAAACAACCAGACAAAATAGATGTTAAGACAGAAAGAACCTCACTTAAACCCATTTTTTTTTCTCAAGAGAATAGAGCAAAAGGGTCTTATTTACAGATGGACACACAATTATGCCTCTTTCATCACGACAAATTACTTTTCCAATATGCAACTAGAATCCTTTATTCTCTCCTCTAACATATCATGTTATGCTAAAATCTTTTTACAGAGCTCTTAAAAACCATTGCTGTTTCCACCCCCTTATATGTATTTCAAGAAATCAATGGTTTTTTTCTTTTTAAGTGCTTTTCCTTGAAATGCAACCAACAAAATCTATTTATCTTCTATTTTAATTGTTCTCAAAAGAGAAAAATCCTTACAGAAGCTACAAAATTGGGAGACAACTGGTGGAAGGACATGTCCTCAGAGCTACCTCATGCAGACACTGGTTCAGATTTTAGAAACAGTATAGCCATGTTAATACAGTTCTTCACCCTGTTAATTTACCCTACTTCTCAGCTGGGTAATTAGCAAATCACCACACTCACATGATAGGAATGAGCTTAGGCACCTCAGCATATGCCCTAGAAGGCAGAAACTCATTGTTCCTTAGGTTCTGCCTAAACATGGGGGAAATTGTCAAAGGCATTTATCTCCAAGGGTTGTGTAAGGTGCTGCCAGCTCCTGGATCAGCTCTAGCAACACTTCCACTGACAAGTGGCATTGCTTGAGTGAGAATCTATGAATTCATTATTTGCAAAGCAATTTGTGATTCTTAGATAGGAGAAAACTTGGGGTTTTTTTGGTATTTTTTAAAGGAATATTAGATGTTTTCTGCCATCTGATCACCTTCTTCCTGGTTCCTATGCAATGACTTTCGAACAAGTCAGCCAGATTTTCCCTATCTGGCGTGGGGAAATCAATTCTCAGAGACATAGGATTCACAAAAGGATTTACTGAAATTTTACTGAAAAAAACCTGGAAAAAAAAAATCTGTGGCTTAACAGAAGCTACAGTAATCAGGACCTGTGCTTGCCCTCGGGGAGAGGCAGATGCCAGCAGGCAGTTACCCCAGGAAAAGGCAGGAGCCAGGCGTCAGTCGCCCTGACTGCCCTGGCACCTGCCAGTGGTGCTAGCAAAGACAGTGGGGAGGGTGCAATCCACCTGGTGATCAGGCCTTGCCAGCTCTTCTACTCCCAGGAGGATTTGCTATTTTAATTAACTCCGGTAACATCTTAAACAAAAGAAATGTATTTAAATAGCAGCTGGGACAACTATAACATGATGCACCAGGGTCTAGTTATAGAGACAAAGAAAATAGTAGTCATGCATTTATAAAGCAAAAGAGAGAGGTTCTGTTATTCTGTTTGCTTAACACCTGTTATGATATCTTTACCAAAAAAAAACCAAAAAACAACCAAACCAAAAAACCTGCTGTTTGGTAATGAGGTTCCATATACAAAGAGGTTTCCACCACAGCAACTTGTCAGCTTGTCTTCAATCTGGTGTTTCCCAGCTTGTGCTCATGTGTGTGTAACATGCAGTATGCATGCAGTACAGCGTTCTGGTGCCAGTGCATGAGTAGGCTGTACAGTGCTAGCTTCTCTGAAGAGAAACAGACCTCATAGTCTCTTCTTTCAATTTTATTGCTCTTCCCATAAAAAAGTGCAACGTGGTATGACACTTGGCACTAAGTTAATACATTGGTATAAGTAAGGGATTCCTCTGTCATGTGAATGATGCCCACCTTCTCCCAGCTGAGGAGTAAGAATTTGAAAACAGACATTTCTCTGTCATGAGCACTCTGGTGATGCAGGCTGTCTGCATTCCTGGAACATTTGTGCCTCTGCTGCCTCTTTAAAGTCATGCTTATATTCAGATGTAGGTATGTGTGGCATGCATCCATCTCAAGAAGCACTGCTGTAAATTACTCCACTAGTTTACCTGTGTAATACATCCTGTCACAAGTGGCTGTGGAGCTCTAAAATGGCAGAACTCCTTAATGAGGCAAGAGGGTGACTCTACTTCTTTACCTTTTTTTTTTCTTAAACTTGCTTTTCTCTCAGTAGCTTTCTTTCTTCAGCCTTTAGGTTTCTCTGTCTAACAGACTCAGCCAGCATGGACGACTGCTAGCTACATCTTTCCAGCCTGTGATATCAAAAATATGAACATTCATCCTTTCACTTATTGTAGACTACTCCAGTCACACAATTCCACAACAGTACAGTCAAATGTGTGCTGAGTGAATGCTTTTAAAGGTCTTTTTTAGTGTTGGGTGCTTGGTTTAGTATAGATGTTCCATCAGATAGCAGAATACTGTAGCTGCCTCTCCAAAACAGAGACCAACAACACTGACCCAGAGAAGAGAACTTATTTTTTAACCTTCAGGAGCAGTCAACACGTTCTCAGACTTGATTGTTGCTCTTTTTAGATTGATATTTATTCCAAAGCAGTTAGAAACTAACAGAAGAATAATGCAGAGATCCTGAAATTAATATTCCGTTTGTGTGTGGGAAAACTGTATCATCATCAATAAGCAGGTACCCTCCAACCAGATATTCAGCTACTGATTTTCTACATGAAATGTGGAATGTGTTCCACTGGGTCTCATTAGTAGGTGGTCTTTGTCATGCTAGGTGAAAAACTGTGATGAGGAAGCAAAGGAAACTATGTGCATCAGTGTGCTGGTACTATCACGTACACCAGTGCAACTGCACTGCAGAATATTCCACAAACCATCCTACAAAGATCACACGAGATTTAAAAATACCTCTAGCACAATCAGTTTACTTTTACAATGGCTGAAAAAGCCATTTCTACACACCAACTTCAAAAAACATATGTAATCTATGGAACCCATGAAAAAAAACTTCATCTCTATCCACACATTTTTCCTGCAATCACCCAGTAATAATTCCTTTATGTGTTTCTATGTCATCTACTAGCTCAGCAGCCTTTCCTGGCAAAGATCAATTCCTTGCTTGTCTAAGGTATTCCTGCATTCCTGGCCTGGAAAAGCATTCTGCTGAGATGAAATCACTCCCAGGATGTTGCAGGGCACTCCTTTCTTCATCTCCAAGTGCTAATTTAACTAGATGGTAGCCAGAGACCAAATCATTCCCTGCTGATGGTGCATCTAGAGCTGGTGGTGTATAGAAGTCTATCTTGAGCTGTCTGAGAGTCAGGTCTCCCTAAAGAGTGTGTGAGTTTTTTACAGTAGCACTCAGGATGCTTCAGGCTGTGAACATCACTCAACAATCCCTGCCCCAGCTTGCTACAGCCATGGGATGCTGTGGGATGTGCTGGGATCCCCCGTGGCAGGCTGCCCAGACCTGCTGCTCTTGGCCACCTCTCTGAAGTTCTTCCTCATTCTTGACAAAATCAGGCTCCAGGATGGAAAAGATGCTCTAATTGCTTCCTTCCTTCACCTCCTCCAGGCTGGGGAGGGCACCTCAGCTGAGGGCTATGGGGCTGTGCATGGGCATGCTGGTGATGCTGATGATCACTGCTGCCACAGCAGTGCTTTTCACCAGCTGTGTGTTTCGTGGGTTTTATTAATAACATTTCTTCTTCTGATCAGACCACCCTTTCATCAGGAGTAGCAGAAGTCTTGGTTGGATACCAAAGAATTTAAAATGCCAACACCCAGACGGAAAAGCCTCTTTCAGGCATACAGCCACAGTAACCCTGGTTCCAGCAGGGAAAATTTTTCCACATCCACAGGAGCATGACAAGTATATGCAAGGTCATAAGAATTGTATCCTTCAGATGATTGCTTCCTCATACATATATCCATCATGGTACTCAGAAAAATTTGGAGTAATGAGACTGTGCACATTATCCTGTACTTGAAAGACATTTCCAAAAACCAAAGCTTCAAATACTGATCAACATAAGATGGATACTCTCACTGCACAGTGGTCCCATAAATGCAGAGATGCATAATTATATTTAATAAATAAAAGCATTATTTATTATTTCTGTTCCTTATTATATAAATCTGCAGAGATGTTTTATTTGATTGATTTATAAATCAGGCTAATTGAATAGCCCTTTCAGTACTGTTAACGTTACCTTCACCTTTTAGTGTTTGCAGATGTTTAACAATCAGACTCCTTCAGATTTTGAAAAATAGGTCTATTTGAAAACTTCAACTGTTTCAACAGCATGTTCAAAATTATTTCCATATGTAAAACTGTATCCAGAGCAATAGGATAGTCCATCTGTAAAAAGTGCCCTTCTATAATGCTCTGCCCTCCCTAAGTAGAACAAATACGATAGAAACTAGGCTGAGCATGAACCATCTGAGGGTTCAGACTTTTTACCCTTAATTCCAGAAAGCCGTAAAATTAGTGTTTATGTCTAACAGCTGTTGAACATTTCTGGATTCTCATCCTAAGGTAGATTACCACAGGACATGCATCACACTCTGAAAATCTCTCTTTCTGACTACCGATTCTCAAGGGCATTTATAGGGCTATCTCAGGTACAGATGTTTTGCATTTTTGATGTCAAATATGGATTAGACAAATCATATTTCAAACTTTTGAGCTGATGGGAAGTGGCCCGATTTGTTTCTGTGAGGTTCATTTTTGAAGTGGGAGGTGTGCTGGAACGTGTAATTTCAGCAGTCTGTATTTTAGGCAACCCCATACCAACACTTAGGGCGGCAGAGGAGGCACCTGGGCTCAGTCAGCTTCTGCAGCTGAGCAGAGCTGCTGCTGGAGCCATGCTGCTGCAGGCACTGTGGGGCTGGGGGTGCCTCAGGACTAGACTCCTGCCTTTCCAGTGGATGCTGAGCCTGGGGCTGGCGCTGCCCCTGAGAGCAGGTCTGTTCCCTGTGGGAGCCAAGGAGCCTGGTCCCATCCCTCCTGCCTGCCTCAGATCCTGCTCACATTACCGAGCCCAACCTGCACCAGAAGCAGATGTCACATCTTGCTCTGCAGTGTGGCAGCTTCCCCACCCTTTCCATGATCTCAAGAGTTGCTTCCAGCTTCCAAAACCCAGCAGGAACCGGAGTTCCTGTTTTGCACAAGGGTGAGAGCTCAACCTGTCCCTTTTCTGTTTAAGGGCTGCAGCTGTCCCAGCTGCACAACCCTGAAAGAACAAGGAGCCCATGTCTGGCAGGGAAATGAGGTATGACTTGACCTGAGATATGATGCATCTTAGCCTTATTAAAAGATGGCTCATGGTGAATTTAGCACTATGGATCCAATTGTTCCCCTCCCCTTCCCTCACACGCATTATTATATGAGACCTGCTGCGATCCTCAAATATTTTGGTACAAACACTGATGTCTAAAATACCAGAGCTGGCTCTGCCAGTTACCTTAGCATAAGCCTAAACACCAGCCAAGGCCCAAATAATACAGATTTCTTAATGCAGATAAAAATCAGCACGTTGGTGTAAAGACACATGCAGTTGCTGGCAAATGCTGGCAAAGGTTTCTAACAAACAATCCCTCTGAGCAGACAGAGACCCTCATATTTAATTCTTCTGTGTAGCAGTTTCAGTGATGAAAAATTAATATTTGAGAAAAAATTATGAGGAGAGAAAAATATATATGCATGCATCCTTTACATGAATGAATGATTGCTGGTGTAGCCAAATAATGAGCATGCAAGTGCATAGGCTGGAGTGTGGAATTCTGAACAGACAAAAACAGTGCCTCTGTAAGCACATGAAAAAACAACTCAGACCATCACCAATGCATTGTCATGAATGTTGTAATTTTATAATGTAAAAAGTAGTCCTTCAGTGTGAGACAAGACCAATATAGTGGTCCTGGTTATGGATATATCATATTATTCTTTTGGTCTGCTACTGTCTCATCTGTCCCCCTGAAATTTCATGACCCTTAAATGTCTTTGATCTAAGTCTATATCCTGAGCACACAATGGAAAAACAAACACATCACTGTGTGGGATTAAGAAATGGAGACAAGAAGCTACTTGTCATATGTATAATTATCCTAAGTAATTATAACCCAGAAGCTCATATCTTTTTTCTTTCTCTCATTGTACTTTAAGTTCCTGACCCCTTGTAAGGAACTGATATTACACCAAAAATTGATCAATAATTTTTTCCGCCTGTTTTTACTCTCTACAGAATTCTTCATCCTAGAAATGGTCCAGAATATTAGTATCTTCCCAGGCCGGAGATACCAGACATCATAACTTAAATATTTGCAAGATGAAATGCCACAAAGACCCTAGACTTATTGTATAATATATCCTGTGAAAATACAGTATAATCTTTTAACACTCCTAATTTTTTTCAATAGTAATAATCCTAATACTGGGAAAACACAGTAGCTAAATTTTGAAGAGTGCATGTGAGAAAAACAAAAAGTACTGTGAATGTGAATAAGAATTTGTTTAAATTTGTGAGCATCCAAATTGCAGCAGAACTACACAGCTTATCACAAAGCTCACCTGTCTGCCTGTTCACAGTGTGATTTTAGCTTTCAGACAAAGCTCCTTTTCAGCTTAATTTTGCCTCAGTAGAACTTGTCTGCATTGACTATAGTGCAAATTTTCACAGAATTATCTAACTCAGAAGCAGGCACTTCATGGGACAAAACTGTTATATGAATCACTCAAATTTCTCCATTGACAGATAGGAAATAGTGCCCAGACTCACCACACAGTAGCAGAATAAAAACTCCCATCAAAACCAGTAATTTCTAACTGAAAAAAAATAAATCTTTGACTGGCACTCATGCTCCAGAAATAGCCCTAGCATATTCAAGCATCACTCCTTTTACAGAATCCCACTTCACTTTCTTTCCTGATAGAGCACAGAAGTCATAAAAGATCAGGGTTCAAGAATCCAGGACTCCCTCATAAATTGCAAGAATGGAGATCATGGTACCAAAGCCATTGCAGCAGAGCATGTCTCACTGTTACTTATGGCCCTTTCAGTTACAAAAAGCATTGTGGAACAGAAAGCTCACCAGTGGATTTCTTGTACAAGTGAGACATTAAAATACTAAATATTCAACCTGTTCCAAAGAAAATGTAACAGAGGAATAAAACAAGCAATTAAGGAAACTGAGCCAACTGGTCTACTTGAAGGTGTCTCTGCTCATTGCAGGAATTTGGAACAAGATGACCTTTAAAGGTGCCTTCCAACCCAAACCATTCTATGTTCTATGAAAATTATAAATATAAGAGGAATAAAATGATTCAAGCAATAAATTTAGGGGCATTTCCCTGGTAACACTCAAGCTGCTGCCATCATTCCACTTGCTCATTTATTCGCCTGAGCCTTCTCCCCTTTTGAGAAAAACAAAACCCTTAGCACTCTTTGGTTCTAAATTCTCTTGTTCTTAATACCTTGAAACCACCTTGGTCTGGCCCAGTACCATCGTCTTTCCTTTTTTGCCATTCACCATCTCCCAAGGAACCAAGGCCTGAGTTTCCATCCTGAAAAAAGGAAGAAAGAAACAATAAATGATAATGTTAAAACAACAGCAGCAGCATTATCAGGATAGATAATTAATTTCTACTTGCAACAATTTATGATGAAACCTCGATTAGAAGGGCTGTTGGTTACACCCAGCTGTGTTACTGCACTCAGATTAATGAACAAACCACCACATGTTTTGGTACACACTGGCACAACATCCATGTCAGGGGTACCCGTTCGATGAGAAAATGAAGGAAGACCATCACAGCTCTAAGGTACCTAGAAGGGGTCTCTATCCTTTAAAAGAGGTTTTGCTTTTTGTTTTGAATATGATCTTTTGCAATCTGCTCTTACCAATATTAAACCTCAGTTTAAAATACCCTAGAACATCTTCTGTGATTTTGAACACAGAATGTGCAACACTGCAGTTGCAAAATTTTGAATCGAATGTTTCAATCTTTTTCAGGAAAGAGAAGTTCCAAAATACTTCTACAATGTAGGGTGCTCCCTTTTGAAGCACTTCATAGAGCACCATTAAAGGACAGTGTCTACAAAAAAATGTTGAAGATGTTCCACTTCTATGTCCAAAGCTCTTCCTGGAGTGATGTGCCTTCATCCAGTCAGGCAGCACACAGAATAATGTGTAATGTACTATATTTAAAACAAAATGCAAATCTTGAAACAATGCCGAGAATGCAAAGCAAAATGAAAAATTTCAGAACAAAAAAGGAAATGTGTAAGTGAAATTCAATTCTCTATTCCTGGTCACTATCCTGTCCTTACCCCATTATCAACAACAACAAAAAAATGAGTTTGATACATGTCAAAATCTTGCTATTTATACAGAAATATGAAATTTTTAATACAAGTAGCATTTAATTGCAGAAGAAAAAAGCTGACAATTCAGTCCCCTGAAGAAGGAGGAAAAAAATGAACAGGGGAGAAGCTTTCTTATCTTTTTCTGTCCTTATACTACTCTGACTTCTCTCATTTTGTCTACGAAGATGAGATCCACTCCAGTGGATCCAGAAGGAGTTTTACCACTGACAGCCTTGAGAAAATTTCACCTTAAACTCCTTCAGGCAGAGGAACTGCTGTATAGTCCCATCAGACAGCAGATTTGCACACTAGCTTGAATACAAACTCACAAAGCAGCATTTTGTTTTCTGTCAAATGCAGAGGACCTTAAGTGAGACTTTAAAGCTGTTTTCTTACCTCTAGTGCATTTGATGGTATCATGGTCTTCCCTTTATTCATGTAATAGAGTGTTTCTGGCAACTCCATGGGCTGCAATTCTTGAGACATATTTGCAGCATATACTTCTGGCTCCTCCATGGTCAAAAATCCTTTAGACATGTTTTCACGACATAGTCCTGTCTCCTCCATGGTCAAAAATCCTTTAGACATGTTTTCACGACATAGTCCTGTCTCCTCCATGGTCAAGAATCCTTTAGACATGTTTTCAGGACATAGTCCTGTCTCCTCCATGGTCAAGAATCCTTTAGACATGTTTTCAGGACATAGTCCTGTCTCCTCCATGGTCAAGAATCCTTTAGACATGTTTTCAGGACAGTCAAAAATCCTTTAGACATGTTTTCAGGACATAGTCCTGTCTCCTCCATGGTCAAGAATCCTTTAGACATGTTTTCAGGACATAGTCCTGTCTCCTCCATGGTCAAGAATCCTTTAGACATGTTTTCAGGACATAGTCCTGTCTCCTCCATGGTCAAGAATCCTTTAGACATATTTTCAGGATATACTCCTGGCTCCTCCATGGGCAGGAGACCTTTAGACATGTTTTCAGGACATAGTCCTGGCTCCTCCACGGGCAGCAACTCCAGAGATATATTTTCAGGCTCTACTCCTGGCACCTCCGTGGGCAGCGGTTCTAGAGACATATTTTCAGGATTTACTCCTGGCACCTCTGTGGGCAGTGATTCCAGAGACATGTTTTCAGTATCTGCTCCTGGTACCTCCACTGGCAGCACTTCCCAAGACATGTTTGCAGGATGTACTCCTGTGGGAGTCAATGACTTGTTATTTTATAAAATTACCTGAGGCCCCACCCATCTCATCTCTCTAAGCAAAGGACTTCCCTCCCACTGTGAAGGCAGTGGAGCACCGAGGATAGACTGCTCCAGGGAAGGACCTTGCAGTGCAAGCACCACAGCCAAAAGGAATGTGGTGCCTTCCTCTGGCTGGGAGCCTCTCCCAGCCTGTGCCTGTCCCACAGGTCCTGCACTGCTGCCACCCTTTTCTGTGTGTGGAAGGTGCTGCCACCGAGGCCTGCTCCTTCAAACCCACGTCTTTCCTGCCCTGAGCAGGGACAGCTCCTGTGTGGGGGAAACTGGACCCTGAAAAAGGCCTGTGCATCTAAAAGCTGGCAGTGACTTCTCTGCATGCTGGCACAGCCTGTGCACTTTGGTCAATGCGTCCCCACAGGCAGGGGACCGGAGCTCAGTGCCTGCAGAGGGGCAGAGCCCTGTGCCATAGGGTGAGCCTGGAGATGGCCATGCCCACTGCCCGGCAGGTCACTGCATGGGCATGCAGCTCCCAGCTCCTCCCGCACTGCTCCCGTTCCCTCTTCCCAGGGGAGAGAGGCCCAGTGTGGGTGCAGGGCCAGGGCTTCATTTTGCAGAGGTGAGCTGTAAGTAGAGGAGGTGATTGACAGGCTGGGAGCAGCAGCACCAGGGTGTGACAGGACAGCAGGGGAGAAGGACACTTCCAGAGGGTAGCAGAGGTCTTGAAGTCAATGCCTATGGCTCCAGGCATGACCCAGGACCACTTCTGCATCCAGCAGTACCTTAAATATACCAAAAAAGGTACAAGGAAATATGTAATAGCTGTGCAAAGCAGGTAAGAGTTATGTTTTCATACATTTTCCAGAGAAAGGCAGTTGAAATTTAAATGACAACTGTGGGAAACTCATGTCAAGATGAATGGAATGCAGGATCAAGTGGTTAAGTTTTACCACTTTTGTTTTACAGAGATTTGTTCAACCAAAGAAGATGAACAAAAGAGTAGATGAACATTTCCAGGCTTACCCAATGGAAATTACCATCTTCAAAAACAGAACAACAAATGAATAACAAACTAGAAGCTCCAGTAACAGTAGGCTTTGTCATAGCATCTGCATCCCCAGCATGAAAAGTAGCTCTGGCCACACTGGAAGTACAAGAGCATCTTTTGGCCTCAGGTCACAGACACTCTGAGCTGCATCCTGGAGAACTCCTTCTGCAGTTCTTTTAGAGAACAACAGTCATTCAGAGGTTTCTTTTTGGTGTTTGGGTTTTTTGTTTGTTTTCGTCGTTTTTATTGTTCTTGTTTTGGTTTTTTTTGTTTGGTTTGTTTTTTGTTTTTGTTTTTTGTTGTTGTTGGTTTTTTTTCTTTAAATTTGGTCAGAAAAGAAGACCTGGTTGACCTTGGAAAACCTGCCATGGGATACTAAAAATACCAGGATACTTCTCATTAGAGCATAACAACTTTGCCAGGGCTGGTTAGTCCAGAGAACCATTAGCATAACTGATAAGTGATATAAATCCCTCTAAACTTGGTGAGCCTTAAGAAAGCTGAGATTTTCTGTCCTCAAGGAAGCCTGTGAAGAAGTTAGATAGATTCTATGTACAGACTTCCATGTCTGCAGAGTGATTTCCCCATTACAGGCACACTTGGCTATCTATAATGATCTGTACAGCCTTCAGCTAAATCAAGATATTCTGCTCCCATCTGAGTCATTCCACAGGGAGCAACATAAAGAAAGAAAACTGCAAGGTTCTCATTAACAACTGAACCAGTGCCATCTCATTTAAAATCTGAATGTACAAAGCCGGATGGTTTTCAACTTAGAGAATGAAAACCAGATCCTTCAAGTGGAAATATTTTATGTCTTTACATTGCATATTTCAGTAATTTAAGGATAGATGAAGGAAAATAACCCACCTGTTTCAAAGATCTAAGTGTAGTTGCCCTGGCAGCAAATTGCACACTACTCCTTAGCGTAGTGATATCACAGTCTTATCTGTTTATCACACAATGTGCCAAAACCAGCACAACCTTGTACTTCCTCTGCTGCTTAGGTTTCTTACTCACCCTGCAATGCAGTTTGCAGAAGCATCACTCACTTGGCAAAGGTACTGTGTTACATCTGACTGCAGAGACAAGCTGTGGAGAAATGGATTTACATGACAAATTTTTCAACAAGTTCAAATGTAGCTTTGCAACTTCTTTTAATCACAGTCTTAGACTGGACCAAAATCACAGAAAGCCAATGTCCTCCTAAATGCCTTACAACAATATATGCTTGCCTAGCCTCAAACAGGCCAGGCAAAATGAGCCTGAGATTATTCTAAAAAGAAAGAAGCACAACCAGGACTGGCTGTGACCACCTCACTACTCTCAGACATACAAATACTTCTATACAAAAAAAGCCAGCATTAGAGAGCAGAGTCAGATGGGAGTTCTGGCTCACCTAATTGCTCTTCCTGCAGGAGAGCAGTGGTGTCTTAGGCCATCACTTGTGCAGTTGGTGAAGGAAGGAGATTTGGAGCAGAAGAGAAAACTGACAGGAGACAGGGGCATTACTGCTGTTTGTTATCATACCCCTGCAACAGGTAAAAATTAATCTTATGGGAAATAAATTTTAAACTAAAAAGTTTAAAAGTACTAGAATGTATTCTTGTTAAGCTCATAACTGAGAAAACTGTGGCACCTTGTATCCATTGTATAGATGCATCAGCATTTGCGTGTATCTAGAACAAACCTCTGACACTGAGAGGTATTCCTTTCCCAGTAGGGAGGCTGCCATCATTAATGACTTTATACATCATTACACTCACAGTTAAATACCTGTGTACATTTCATTCATGTTACAGTTACTGATGCATTGGATAAAGCCCAAAACTTACCATACCAGTCTTTCAGCTGCCTAATTGAGGTGTAAATTTATACTCTATTTTATCTCTCTGAGATTTTATGCATTTTACAAATGCACAGACCTCAGTGGTTACCTGTAAAGTCCTGGAGTTCTCTCACTTTGTGATGCTTTTCTGTACTTGGAGAAAGTTTCCCAGGACTTTAGTTCCATGAGAGCTGTTCCAAATTTTTTGAATCACTGTTCATTCTCCACAACTCTGCAGACTACCTGCATATCCTCATGAGGTGAAAACCAGCACAAGCATGATATAACCAGCACAGTTCTTCCTCCATGTGTGCAAACCCAGCAGTGGGTTACAGGCCATCAACTCCTGCACCAGCAGAGATCAAGAGTGACTAGAAAAGTGTTCATTAAATATCTGTGAAGGATTTTCTGAATTATTTTCTGTATGTGGGACCAAAGCATTTAATCATCAACAATTTCTAGGCTATCATATAATCTGTTAAATGTCAAAACCAAGTTATAGTCTATTATTTACAAAGTAGATATTAAGAGAAATGCAGCTCAAGGAGGAATTTGGAGCATGAGTTGCTTTTAAGACTGGCTGTCATCCAGCTGAATAGCAGAAATTGCAAAATTGAAGAAACAACTTGCTCAAGATTTAAAAGTACATATTAATATATGTAGAAACTTGCAGCTTCTTATCTGATAGTTATCAGTCTCTAAGGATGCTCCATTTCCTCAGCAGAAAAAAAGAAATAGGAAGGGAGCAAACTAATAAACAGATTATTAGCTGGGAGAGAGAAGGCTGCAATAAGCAGTAGCTGGCAGGAAAAGTTAGACTGCTAGGGGCCAAGAAACCATCTTTTCCCAGTGTTTAAGGGCAGAAAAAAAAGACGAGAGAGCTAGGAAGTATCCATAGTATGCATATCAGGTAAGCCTAGATGGTCAGAACGTCAGCAGTAAGATTTCGTGCCATGAAATTTTCTCAGGAAAAGTTAGACTGCTAGGGGCCAAGAAACCATCTTTTCCCAGTGTTTAAGGGCAGAAAAAAGAAGAGAGAGCTAGGAAGTACCCATAGTATGCATATCAGATAAGCCTAGATGGTCAGAACATCAGCAGTGAGATTTCGTGCCATGAAATTTTCCAGATTAGGGATTTTCAGTTACTTTGTTTTTTTAAAGGACCAGCCTATTAAGACTGCTTTGAAAAAAATAGAAGAGTGATATACCTTTATCTCTGTTTTAGATGTTTCTGTCACCTTCTAGCTCCTGATTTCCTCTTTCTTTTCCTCCTTCCATTCCCTGCAATATTTTCTTTACAATTGACTTTTTGGATTGCAAAGTATGTGTTTTCTTTCTTTTTCCATCTCAACACCTCATAGCTAAAATGCCATTTTTCACTTTTTCTCAGTTATTATAATTTGTTTTTTCTTCTATCATTTCTCCCTCCTCACATTTTATACCAACTTAATCTTACTTAATCATTCTTAATCTTTCCCCCTTGTCTCATATCTCCTCTGTACTGTAATTGTTTCTCCAGAAGCTTCAGGTTTGAATGATGGAGGTTTGGTCATATTTGGAGCAAGCATGAATACTACAAGCATTAGGGCAGCTGAGATCAGGCTGTCACATCTGGATGAGATGTCCAGCCGCATGGAGAAAAGGAGATAAACGACAGTGGGTTGGAGGGAACGCAAAGGAGACCTCAGGACCAAGGAGGAAAAAGCATGAGACATGACAAGATGTCACATCACAGTTTTGCTATCATGAGCTGGAGGTGTGGGAGGTGTGCTGGAGAAGTTCTCTATGAAGACTGCAGGAGTGCTGGGCTTCAGCGGGAACCCTACAAGGGAGAGATTTTCAGGAGGAATTCAAAACTACAAAGCTTCAATGGCACAAATGACACAGAACTCTAGAACTTTCAGCCATTTTAACTGTTGACCAGCATACCATGACCAGGGCATGTGAAAATAAGGCCATGTTAGCCTCCTCTGCGCAGAACTCTAGAACTTTCAGCCATTTTAACTGTTGACCAGCATACCATGACCAGGCCAGTGAAAATAAGGCCCTGTTAGCCTCCTCTGCAGTGTTATCACTCTAGTAAGAAAGTGAGATATTGCACATAGCAAAGCTTTACATGTGAGCAGATTTTAGCACAGGGTTTCTAAGATGGTAGTCCTGTTCTACCACCCACATTCTCCTATACCTGCTGTGGCAAACACATTTCCCATCACTCACGTGGTGCAACCTGTAGTCTCACGAATGACTAGTTCATTCAGAATGTTTGCAATAACCTCGTTTGATCATTCCTTGTACTACAGAGCAGCACAAAATGCTGCTGCCAACTATCCCATTAGCTCCTATTTCTTCAGTGGCTCTCACCCAGTAGGACTGCCCAAGTTCTCCTATGCCTTGTGAGGAGTTAAAGAATCCCACTACTGCTTTCCTTAGGTTCCTGTGGTCTGAGTCACCTCACTGAGCTGCCCAGTTCTTCATGCACCTTTGTGATAATCAGAAGGGCTAGGGCACAGCTGCAATTGCATGCTAATCCCTTCACTTACTATAGATAATGAATAGGTAAGAATGAAAAGACAGACACAGAAAAGATTCAAAACATATTAATTACAACTAAGGAGGTCAGCCTGGTGTTAGTGTTTGTAGCTCCTATTACCACATGTACCAAGAGCTCTATCTATTAAAACATTTAGAAAAAATCAAGTTAACTCCCGCTGGTATTAACACCATGATACAGCATGGGCCTAGAGTGCTTCTCTCCCCTCTAGTTAGTTTTCTTCCCAACCTGCAAAACCAAAAAGTGCTTTTAAATGCCCACATCTGCAGCTGTTAAGAGTGCTTCTCTCCCCTCTAGTTAGTTTTCTTCCTCAGAGGGATAATTCCATGAAATCATTCATCTTTCCTGTAAAAAGGGACACTCCCAACCTGCGAAACAAAAAAGTGCTTTCAAATGCCCACATCTGCAGCTGTTGCCTACATTCCTGTAATGCTTTAGTACAGCCCAGAGTCAGAGCATAGGAAACATACCCCATTAAATGCTGAACCAGAACAAAACAATGCCAGCAGACAAAGCCACAGAAAACTTCCCTGCTGGCCTCCAAGGACGGATGACAAGGATCTTGTGCAGGTGTTCTGCTGGGAGGTGGAGCAAACACCCCAGCAGGTGCGGCAGAGAACACCTCAGTGGCACACTGAGAGTAAATAGAGCTTCCCACAGCAAACAAGAGAACATCAAGGGAAGCAAAGGGGTATAGTTAAAGGCAGGAATGGGAAGAGAGAAGCAGGCTTCTTGAAATTTGGTGTCATCAAAGACTTGGATGGCAGGGGTAGGAACTCCATTTGCAGCTCTTGAAGGTGCCTGAAACCTCAGCTGTAAGATGGGCAATTGGGAGAAGTAGCAAACACATGTGTCACACCAAATGGGCTTGGCATAATGATAACCAGGGAAGCCTGGGAGGGAAGTAGAGCTGGGACAGAGGAGAGGCAATGCCGAGAGGGACCAGATGACTCAGCAACAGAGATCACAAAGAGGGGAGCTCTTGATGAGCACCAACAAGTAAACAGCCATTTCAGCACACCAGAGGTTTGAACCCAGGCTGTAAATTGGATGAAGGTGTAAGGGCCTGGAAAAGCAGCCAGGGTAAGGACACAGGGCCCCTAAGGGGGCTGAGGTCATCAGAGGTGAGCATGGGAGACTAAAGACAGCAAAAGATAAGAGGAAGACAAGGTATAAAGGAATGACTGAAGGAAGAGAAATAGATCATGACAGCAAGAAGGAAGAGAATTTTTCAGCCTTTTAGAAGTTCATATTTAATTTTGAATTAAAAATTAATTTTCTATTTTCACTATGATGCATTATTCATAACTTTGTGTTTGCCAATACCTGTTACTTCAGCACAGACAAGCTGCTGCATTATTGAAATTTTAAGTAATTAAGGGCAACCGATACTGACTGAAGCATTATATCTTTTTATTTTAGATTAGTGTGTTTGTTGTAGTGAAACAGGTTTACATTGTATTTGTCTTATTAAAATTATTCCTAAAGCAATTATTTTGGTCTTCATCTGAAAAATAAGCAGTTTCAACAAATTACCTTGTGCAATTTATAGTAGTTACATATATCCTAACTTGCTTTTAGACAGGCAGGGACTGACAAAGTCATGTGATTACCCATGGATATCAATGTAAAGCACTTAGTTTGCCTTCTGACTACAAAACCTCTCTCAGTTTTTGATGTTTGAATTCTCACAGCATCCCATCTTATAATAACAAGAAATTCTGTGAAAAATGCTGAAATTAACAGGACGTGGACACTGAGATGGATCATATAAATACCATGAAAGTTCAGTGGAAAGTAGAGCTGTGGATTAGATTATAGTAGTTATACCTGCACTGGAAGAGTTGATCCTGACTCACATTACGGCTTGAAACAGTAGTTTCCAAGAGATTTTAAAAAACTAAATACTACTGGAGTAATAAAACTTTTAAATTCAAAAGTATAGAAAATGTGTATTTTTCATGTGAAGTCCCACATTATCTATTATGTTTAGCTTGGCATGTTATTTCTAGCAAAATTTCCATGCTAACATTACAGGAAAATGCAGTTTTCATGTTCTTTGAAACTGTCCACATTTATCACATATTTTTCTGTTGCACCAGATTTGGAATAAATGTTATATCCATAGCTCATTTGTCTTCACTTCACATATAATTTCCATTAGTGTAACAAATTTTGAAAGGATTTCTTCTTCTGTCCCAGATTCATGCATTTCAAAAACTTTTCAATTAAAGCAATGTTTTCTGACCTTCAATCTACCACATATACACCTCTATATGTGTGGAAAAAAGTGCACCAGCAGTGAAATCCAATATAAATAAAGCACAAGTCTAATAATTATTTTGTTTGATTGGTTAATCTAGGATCACCATGTGGTAGAGAAGAACCACAGCCTGAGACAAGTCTTTACTTTCCAAAGTCTACCATGCTCATTTGAAGACAGCTCTTGATTCTTCTCCAGAGTAGAAGAAAAAAACCCCAATCCTGCAGACATCTTTCTGAAACTCAGGCAGAGTGTTTATTTTTTGTGCTGTCGTTTCTGCTGTATGGCTGAATTCAAAGCCTGAAGGATCAGATGCTGGTTGTTCTGAATGTTGTAGCTGGTCAGTTCTATCAGCTTGTCAAAGTCCTCCTCTGTGTAGGTAAAGCTGTTTAAGCAGTAGGGGGAAAAAATGGTAGAGACATCCACATTGCCCTGAGCCATCTCAGTAGGGCTGCGCTCCACACCTGACAAATAAAGAAACATCATCAGTAGGGTAGAGATATGGTTCCACCTTCCACTCTCCAGTGGGGCACAACGTTAATCCTTGCTTGCTTCCTTGGAATTTGCATTTGTCTCCCATGGGAGACAGAGCAGGGGAGAGAGGAGACCATGCTACACCATGTCTCCCATTCCACAGCCAAAGGGCTGCCAGGTGGTGGGACAGCCATCCCATGTCTTACCAGGCTCTTTGTATTTTCTGAAGGAGTCATTCACCAGTGGGAAAAACACCACAGTTGGTGCCTCTGGGGTTTCTGTATCTTCAAAGATGTAGCACTCCTTTAGATTTTTTTTCTCTTCTTCACTCATTTGGATTTTGGGAAATGGGATTCCCTGCTTTTGAAAGTATTTGGAGGCTTCTTCCAAGGGCTGAATTCAGAAAAGAAGAAAAGGTCAGAAGTTCTGCCACATTTTACCACTTTTCTTAATGCATCCATCGAAAGATGATCTTCACAGAGATTTGGGAGCAAGGTTTGCTGTCAATACTTCTTCTGTCCTTGTCTCTTACATGAGATAACTACTATTAACAGAACAATTCAATACTCAGCCTCCAACTTGCACTCCTGATTGGTCTTCTACCTTCTCCTCATTAGCCTTTATCTCTACAGGATAGGTACATGATTATGGGAAGGGTGGCCTAGCAGCTTAGGATACAGAAAGATGCCTCTCCTGGAGAAGATCCTGAAACAAGTAAAATGGGCAAGAATCTGAAATAGTATCATTTTAAAATGCAAAATCACAATTTATTTTTTTTTTTTACTTGGCATAAAGTATTTAAAAGCCTCTGTCTTAGATGCCTTAGGATGGTTCTGAAAAGTGATATAAGCAAACAGTGATCTAGGAGCAAACAGGATCTTAGCTAAAACATGAATCTTGCAGGTGTGTTAGCAATTTTTGAAAGTAGGATTTTGCTTCCTGACTCTGGTTGGCGTGTATGAAAATTTTAGTCCTCAAGAATTTCTGTCTTATCCATATCTAGTAACAGGAATTACCGACCAGGTTATTAGATGGTATTTGAAAGAGCAAATGTTGTCAAAGGATAATTCTTTTCCACAATTTTGAACAACAACAAAAAAATCCAGCTACTGTTCTAAAAACAACTGAAAAAAATATTTCTAATTATACTTCATGTGGGTAACTTTATATGAACATCACAACACAACCATAATGAGTTCATCAGTGGTGGTAACTAGAACCATATAAATACACTATGTGAGTGAAATCTAGATAGCAAAATGGAGATCACAGGAACACACAGGTCTAGGAGATAGCATTTAGCTATTAAGAGGGTTAATTCAAATAAAACATTTATAAAACTGATATTACTTCTGTTCTCAGGGGATTCACCAGCATCACTTGCAAGACCTAAGCATCTGCACAGAGAGCTGTACACCAAGGATCCTTTTCTCCCAGAATCAGTTTATTCTATATAAATTATTCTGATTTTTTAGGAGTTAAGGAGGGCTAGAAGGCAGCTGTTGTTTATCAAAGAAAAGAGAGCATTTTTCACACCAAGGTCTGTGATCCAGAAGAATAGTTTAAGTGCAGGACAACATCCACTTTCCTCTCTGGCCTCATGAGTGGTGGGTAGCTGATGTCGATGTATCCCGCTGTGTCAGCCAGGCACATGAACTCTGCTGTTTGTGTCAGCTGGTTGGGGAAATGCTCCAGTACAGTATCTAGAAGGAAATATTTGTTATGATAGTGATTCACTGAAGAAACAGTACATCTGTTGTTTGACTAATAAGGAAAAATTGGGAAAAATGCCTCTTGGCTATCCATTACATTTACTTTTTCCAAAAGATCCTTAAACACTACAGATGTTCAGCCTTCACACATGAAAGAAAGACCTGTTCAAGGTAAAAAGAGAGTTCTTTCACTTCTCATGTTGCTGTTCTTCCACCCCAGATGAGAAGTAATTTTTTTCCCTGGAGTCAAGGAAATTGCTGAAGCTGATTTGACTGTATGAAAAATCTAAATTGTTATCTTGAAATATTTATTACAAAAGTTCATCATCTGTCTTCTCTTCACTGATGAAAACACCAATCATCTAAGAAGGTAAAAATTATATTCAAGGATGTTTACCTTTCCATATACAGAAGTTTTTGTTCTGAAGGTATTCATTGTGCAGCTGGAATCCCTTCAGGAAGTTGTAGAACTTTGAAACCATCACCCGCTCTGTCAGGATCTGCCGAATGATGCCCATGATGCCACATTCAGGGGTGACCAAGTAAGTCTCCAACTCATGTCTCCTGTCCGATGGAGAAGGCTCTTCTCCTGAAAGACAGAGGAGATGAACAAATTGTTGCTTTGATACGGTTCTTTTCAATACTTAAAATAATAGAAGGCATCTCATATTAGCTAGGGAAAAAAAGATCCTAATAAGACATTGCAACATACAAATAAATCAATGTCAAAATAGGAATAAGAAGAAAATCAGTCTTCAGTAAAGCCTATTCCATGAGAAAAAGAGTGGCAACAAACTTGCTAAAACTGGAAAAATGGATCCATTCTTTGATAGAACTCACAGATAGATTCCCTGTGTGAAGGTTAGGATAGGTTCAGAATCTGGACCTGTTCCTTTCAAAATTAATAAAAATCAGCTTTGCAAGGAAAGAAAAAAAAGCTGTCAGGAGACTGAGACATCCACCAAAGGAAAAAGAAATAGGGTTGTGCTATACAGTGCTTCATGAGATTGGGAAGAGAGGCAATGACGTTCTGTCACATGCATTTATTGATTTATTGAGCTCAGGGCTTTGCAACACTTCCACAGAGAAAGTGATAGAAATCTATAAACCAAACTCAGTAACTGCCTTTAAACACAGGAGGGAAAACCAAGGCCTCTTGGAAAAACACAGGTTTATATCAAGATCAAAGAACATTGAAATGACATTGCATGCAATTGAAGTCTTCAACAACAATGTATGAAAAGCACCAGCTGCTGAGGCAGACAGAGAGCACAGCACAGAGGTGTTTGTTAAATTTGGAGGTTCACCAAAGGCCCCTGACAAAGATAATCTGTTTAAAACCTTCAGTAGTTTTATATTTGCATAAATTCAGTATGAGAGAGATTAATGGAAATAATATTGCTATGAATAAATTCAGAGAGGAAACCTAGTTAGATACAGCTGACAACATGAAGCCTCTGGATTTATGAGACACCGTAAAAGGTAAAGAGACACACATAACTAACCAGTATCAACAGTGCTGTGCTGGGTGCACCTCAGTGAGCGCCTCTGTGTAGGATTTGATGAATGCCAGGCATCCAGGAGGTTGTATGAAAAGACATTGCTCCATAGGCCTGTGCAATGGTAGAGAACAGGGAAGCTCCTTCAGAGACATTCTAATGGAAAATATCCCTTTAAAAAAAATCTCTCAGCTTTGCAAGGGGTCTTGGAAAGCCTCAATTTCCAAATTATCACCAAAACTGTATTAAGTTCTTTTCAGCAATTAGCATTCTGTCATCCAGGAGGAGCCTAAATAGTTTAAAACATTGTGTGAGGCCTTCAGCCACTGTAATTCCTTGCCACATACAAATCAACATTTTCTATCCTATAACCAATGGTCATAAGTGAGAAAAACCATGCCATTTCCTATAAAATAAGGGTCTGATCTACAAAATATATCATATACAAGACATAGTATAGTCAGGATAGTCAGTTAAAGGTTTGGAAGCTGCTTCTGGACAGTCAAGAATCAAATGGTTGGAGTATAGTCTGGGATAGTCTGCAGAAAAGTCCGCTAAATAAAAGACATCTTTGCTGTTTCTCTAAAATTTCTCTCTGCACAAAGTCTTTCGAGGGAGACCCTTCTCCTTCTATTTGTTATTGTCATTCCCACAGTCCTTCTCCCACGGCCATCCCACATGAAAGAACATCTGAAAGTGTCTTCACAGTGCAGAAATCTCCAAAAGTCTCTTAGATTTTGAAAAGTATCTCTTCCTCCACAGCTCGTGTCACAGGCCCCAAGAGGAACTCTAGCAGAGAAGGCATTGCTGTGCTTTGCATTGAAAATCTCTACCAGTGAAAGCCTTGCAAAAGCCATACATTGTACAGGATGCAATAACTTGAGTTGCATGATAAAATAATTATTCATCCCATAAATTATTAACAGAAATACAAATCCATTTAAAACATGGCTTGTTTCTAGTGTGGGACAGAAATCCAGGAGCCTTGTGTTTTAAAGGAAGTCCTTGTAAGAATAGACTCACTGAGGAAATATTAGAAATGCATAATCAAGAAATCATATTGGGGCTCTCTGGATCTACACTTAGCTGTCACGCAGAGTTCATTTGCACATAATTACTGGCCAGTTTCTGTCAAGACAACCTCATCTCCCAGCAGCCTGAGAAGCTTCTGTCCAACCCTGCTACGAGAAGACAACTGCTCTGGTTTCTCCTGTCTTGGTGTCTTCTCACTCTGTAACTCTTCCGGTTCCCTTACCCTTGGAGTTACACACTGTCCCTGCATTTTAATGACTTTCAAACATTGTTGTCTCCTCAGAACTTGTTTATAATTACATGGCAACGTTGTCCTAACCTCTTGCACTGAATTTTCTTTGTACCTGTATTGGCTGAAGTAAGAGCTGTGAAGAAAGATGGTATCTTTTACTAGGCCAACAGAGTTGAAGAGACTGAAAAAGCTTTTAGCACCCCAGCCTTTCTTCTGCTGGAAAACATGAGGGTCTTGTATCCCTGTAAGCTCATGCAGCCTTTCCAGCTCTAGCCACTGCTCTTAGAAAAGGCCTTTCCTCTCCCTGCCTCCTCTCCCTTTTATCTTTAAATTATCAAGCTGTAACTAATATCACATTTTAATAGCAACCCAAGAGGGCATTGCACGAGGTATCACTAGATGGCAACATTGCTTTAAATCTCCACCTTATCCTTTATAAAGATACACGGGTGGCTGAGGGATCACCAGGCTCAGGTGCTGAGGCTGAGAGCAGAGCTCAGCCCAGGCTGGGTATGTTGGGTGTGCTTGCTACCTGGCCACTTTGGGTACAAACACACTGCCCCGCTGCAATTGAGGAACTGGAACGGGGGCTCAACGTGCTCAGAAGAAGGCTCTGCAGCCCCACCTAGCTCTGTGACCTACCTCCTACCTCTAGTAGTCAGCACAGAGTGGAAGTAAAAGAAAAAAGGGAAGAATGAAGGGATTCCTCCAGCATACTCCAGCATCTCAAGCTCATGGGTTTAGGATTTCTAGTACTGGTGGCTGCATCTGAATTACTGGATTTCAGAGCCACCAGAGGGATTTACTGTGCATTAATTTCTCCTGCCCTTTTTAGATCTATTCATACTCTTGGATCCTGTGTTTTCTTCTGAGTGTTTTCCCTCAAACAACTCTTAACTCATGACAACACTGAAAACTCTTAACATAGCTAATAAAACTGTAAGATTTAGTGCTTGTGTGACTGAGCACAATCTTGTCTTTCTATGCCCAACTATTTTTTCATGTTTAGAATAACATGATTCTGGACTCCTCCTGCACAATACTGACATTCTCAGCTTCTCTGAATACCAAATAAAGAATACCAAGTGGTGTTCCTGGTTACATGGATTTTTCACTTTATAAGTTAACCAGTTTTTGCCTCTATCCTTGGTGTCCTATTTTGTCTTGTGCTTATTTACATGTAAAATATCTGTTTAAGAGCAGATGGACTTGTCTGCAGACAGCTTTACCCCAGAGAACCAATGTACAAAGGGGCATAGTAGAGAGTTCCAGTATTAAGCAAAATTAAAACAAGAATTGTATAAAACCTGCAAAACTGTTTTTTATATATTACTGGATGCTACACAATTTACTGAATTAAGAATGATAAATTTCAATTAGTGCTATCATCATAGCAAAATTACAGAGGATTTAGAATACTATTCAACTTGAAAAAGTATCAGTAGCAGTTCACAAAACTACTCTAAATTGTTGTATTTTATAATAAACTCAGTAACAACATTGCTTTAGCATCTAAGATCATGCCATTCATAGACAAATTTGACTTTTAAGATTTCAGTTTCAAAATACAAATGTTTTTCATGTGGAACTCTGCTGCTGGTTGGTTCAAAATGAACCTAGCCTCTTCAAGCAGCCCTGAAACTTCAGGCATGAGCATCGCTATTCAAGACAACAGCAACAATGAATAGTATGGTTTGAAATTTCCTCTTAGTACTTTTAGCCTGTCTCCATTGTCTAAGGAATTCAGGCAAAGGTGAGAACAACATGGTGTACAATTGGTTTCAGTCCTGCATGATGCAGGGCACTGGTTGTAATGTGCAGGGTTTGCAATATATTAAAAATAATGTACATATTTATGCAATTCAAATTTTCGCAATAGACCACATCACCTTTCATGAAGCAGATTCGGGACTCAGGAAGTTTCTTCATCAGGCGACCCATGAAGAACTCACTGCCAAAATCCTCAGCACGAATGAAGGCACCATACTTTAAGAACCCAACCTCATAAGGGGTGAACTCCACCCATTCTGGAGAGACATAAAACAAACGTTTAAATCTTAATCTTATCCCTACCTCCCTGCTGGAAGGGCTGTGAAAAGGCAAAAAGGCAGCGGCAGGATAAACCCTATCTGTGGGGTGACCTCAGACTGGCCTTCCTCAGGGTAAAGAGTTATCATTCAGCTGGTGTCAGCCACTCACTCAGTAACCTTTCACGGTGTTGTTCATTCAGAATTTTCCAATGACCCTCTAGAGAGAACATAAGGGAATTGGCTGTCCTTAAACACCTCCTTAAGATTTCTCCTGCCCCGCAGAATATAAGTTCCTCCCATAGCCTAGGAATAAAGTCTGGAAATGGAAAAGGAAGTTAAGGAGGAAAAGAAACTGTTTATAAATGCTATGGGACAGCTGTAGAAGAGATTGAAGTACTAATAATGCTGATAGTTCAAACACCACATGAGCCCATTTTTGCTATCACCTTTGAACTCTGAAAGGCTGTAATCTTCTTTGATGTTGAGGATCATGTAGATAGGTAGGGGATTTTGACCCTGACTCAATGCCTCTTGCTCATCTGAGAGTTTGTGATTATTTTTCTGTGAATTGATGAAAGACAAAGAGCAAAATCAAGAGACCTTCTTGGCATAATTTACAGGCTTCCAAGAGTACAGCAAAATACATAGCAGTTTCCCTCTTAATTTTGCTATTTTCTCAACTAATTTTGTGCCCAAACATTTTTTTAACCAAGGAATGATCTAAACATTTACACATCCACATAGGCTTATTTAATTACTGGTAGAATTGTAGGGCACTTTTTTAAAAAAATGGTTTCCTATTCTTTTTAGTAAATACATTCACTTTACATGGAAATTTGTTCTCACAGAGATGAACAGAGGAAAATAAACCAAGAGCACGAGTCTTTAGTTAGGTACCCAGATACTCATACTTGTAGAAGGAGAGATAGGTTTTCCACAGAAGCCCCTAGGGCAGCTAATTATCCATTAAGAGATGTGGGGACAAAGCTTTAAACAAGTTTGCAGAAAACACTAAGCTGGGTGGTAGTTGTCTATCTGCTGGGGAGCAGGAAGAAGGCTCTCCAGGGGGATCTGGATAGGCTGGATCAATGGGCCAAGGCCAATCATATAAGGTTGACACAAGGCTGAATGCCCGGTCCTGCACTTGGATCACAACAACCCCAAGCAGCACTACAGGTTGGGGTAAGGGGGTGTGGAAAGCTGCCCAGCAGAAAACGACCCGGGGGTGCTGGCTGACAGCAGCTGAACATGATCCAGTGTGTGTGTGTCCAGGTGGTCAAGAAGGCCAATGGCATCCTGGCCTGTGTCAGCAATAGTAGTAGGACCAGGGCAGTGATTGTCCCTGTGTACTTAGCTCTGGTGAGGCTACACCTCAAGTGCTCTGTCCAGTTTTGGGCCCCTCACTATAAGAAAGACATTGAGGTGTTAGAGCATGTCCAGACAAGGACATGGAGCAAAGGCAATGGAGCTGGGAAAGCGTCTAGAGAAAAAGTCTTACAAGGAGCAGCTGAAGGAGCTGGCACTGTGTAGCCTGGAGAAAAGAAGGCTCAGGGGAAACCTTGTCACTCTACAACTTCCTGAAAGGAAGTAGTAGATAAGTGGGGATTGGTGTCTTCTTCCAAGTAAGGCATCCTGGCCTGTGTCAGCAATAGTAGTAGGACCAGGGCAGTGATTGTCCCTGTGTACTTAGCTCTGGTGAGGCTACACCTCAAGTGCTCTGTCCAGTTTTGGGCCCCTCACTATAAGAAAGACATTGAGGTGTTAGAGCATGTCCAGACAAGGACATGGAGCAAAGGCAATGGAGCTGGGAAAGCGTCTAGAGAAAAAGTCTTACAAGGAGCAGCTGAAGGAGCTGGCACTGTGTAGCCTGGAGAAAAGAAGGCTCAGGGGAAACCTTGTCACTCTACAACTTCCTGAAAGGAAGTAGTAGGTAAGTGGGGATTGGTGTCTTCTTCCAAGTGACAAGACAAGAGGAAATGGACTTAAGTTGTTCCCAAAGAGGTTTAAATTGAATATTAGGAAACATTTCTTCACTGGAAAGCTAGTCAGCTTTCCCCAAGCTGAGGTGGTGGAATGACCCAAGGAGGGTCATTCCACCCAAGGAGGCATGTTCCCCAAGGAGGTAAAAGTGTTTGAAATTTGTGTAGATGTGGCACGTCTAATTCAGGTTAGTTCACTACTAACATGGGTTAGTGGTGAACATGATAATGATAGGTTAGTGGTTGGACACAGAGGCCTTTCCAAGCATAACAATTCTAAAACCCCATTGTTAATCAGAAGAAATCATCTGCTGGATAACACTGGCATGCTCTCAGGCATCTGTCCCTGGAGCTTCATTTTCCATACAATAGTATTAGTAGCTGTTAGAGAAAACATGGGAAAAATACTACCCCATCGTCTAATGCTTTTTCCAGCAGAAGTCCCCAAAAATCAACACTAGAGATCTGGTATCCCTCTTGCTTCCGCAGTTTTAGCTCCTTTGCGTAGTACTTCATGCTCTCCAGGGAAAAGCAGCTTAGCTTGCACTTGGTCATATGTCTGCGGATTTCACTAATGGGTCTTGATAGATCCTTGTGTGACCAGTCAGCACTCTGATACAAATGTGACAAAGTCCTGGGGAAAAGAAAGGAAGTGCATTGTCATATGCAGAAAAACTTTCACATTTTAGACTTAAATTTATGGTCCACATCAAATGAACTAGCTGAGTTTCTTTTGGGCTTAGTATATTATTGAAAAGACCTTTTGATTTAGAGGAGTTTCCCAAATCACTAGTGAAACTTGAGAACTTGAAGAAAGCCCCTCCTTGCTATGAAGGTTTATGCACAAGGCTGTGACTTGCACCCCAGTGACTCAGTAGGAGAGAGTCTAGATCTGAAACACAGCAGCACTTAGTCCATTCACTGGCTGGGCAATGTGCTCCTAATGCAGCAATAAAAATGCTCAAGACTGAAGCTCATGCCTTTCGTTACAAAAATGAAGAGAATAAATATCTCACAGCAGGCTAGAGAGGTGACGAGTGATGTCTTCTTTCAGGATCTCCTTACCATGTTGAACCAGATGACCCAGTGATGTATGAGATAGCATCCAAGAGACCCAGCTTTTGAAGACCCAACAGGTTGCCTAACAGAGATGTCAGTGCCCGGGTGCCACCTCCTGTTGTCATCACTGCTACAACTGGTACCTGTTTAATCACCAACACAGCAGTAGTAATCAACACTTTGTTTACCAGCAGAAGTCATCAGAGCTGAGCATATCAGTCCCACAAAAAATTCCAGTATTTCACCATTTCCCCAAGCAGGGATGAAAAAAAAAAACCCTGTATATTTTGCACAGGAAAAAAACAAAACCAAAAAAAAAAAAAAAAAACCAAGACCAAAAAAAAAAAAACACCCCACAAACGCACACAAAAAAAATAATTTTGCACTCTAGCTTAGAAAAAAAAAAAACCAACCACCAAAAAAAAAAAAAAAAAAACAACAAAAAAAACCAACCAAAAACAAAACAAAAAAACACCCCACAAACGCACACACACACACAAAAAAAATTTACACTCTAGCTTACCAAAGCTTATTATTTCAAGGCATTTCAATATTAGACTGCATTTTCCTTAGCAAAACGTCTTCTCTTGAGAGGACTATTTTGATAATGAGCAGAGCTCATCCTCTCTGTAAGTCAAGCATACTAGCAAGATTACATTTCCTACAAAGTACCTAGAATGTATAATTGCAGTGATGAAGCCTAATTGTATGGAAATCTAAATTGTGTGGCAAGAAGACAAATTTCTCTAAGAAACCCACTGAGAGAAGAGGAGCCCATTGACATTTTCCACACACATTTCCAGGCAATTGTATCAAAGAAATACTCAACAGTTTCCTGATTCAAATCAAACACTTCAGGTCAAAGCAAAGAATTCCAATCTGGATTTACCGACTATAAGGAAATATTCCCTTGCTGAAAAATCTGAAAATAATAGTTGGAAGTACTTCTCCTAAAAATTCTTATGCTTAAGAAACTTCTGGGTTTTTTTGATTGAAACTATTGATCCAATGAGAAACAATGTAGCAATATGATCAGGTTTTGAGCAGGGGCCTAATTTATAATGCCTAAAACCATGCTGTCATATATTACCTAATATGCCTTTGATCCAGCTGTCCTGGACAAAGGAGACAACACAGGTGAAAAAAATAAACCAGCTTTCAAGTCCATTCTTCATTTCTCAAGTTCCTGATCACAAACCATGTGATCACAAACCTAAAGCACCAACCATCCCCATGCTAGCATGGACATTAACAAATTTAAAACCTAGCTCAGACAAGCAGATTAGAGAAAAAATGCTGAATATCTTTATTCTATTTGAGTAACTACACCTGAAATTATGAGCACCAGAGGAGAGAGTCTAAAATAAGACACCTTCTTATTGGCCAGTATTATGCGTCACTTTAACTGTTAGATTTTATCTCTCTAAAATCTGATTAAGTACTTTATGAGGTATTTAGTCTTGGTGACTAAATGATCAGCTAAAATAGACTACCTATCCAGGTCTATAATGCACAGATGAAAAAGAAATAGAGAAAAAAATTCTGATTTATGCATTATGTTTTCAGGGAAAATGTGTATCGAGAGGGTTTGATATTGGCTCTTCATCTAAAATAGAAAATGTAGAAAAGCATTCCTCAATGCTTTGCATGGTGTAGTGAATGTATCAGGGCTAGTTAAGGAACAATATGCAAAAGGCTATGAGCATAACATATTCCTGTTACACAGCATGTTACAGTCCCTGTGGTGCTCCCCATACCTCATGATCTTCTAGGTCTTGCTCTAAATGTAGTGCTTTTTTCAGAGCAGAAGCCACAAACTTCTTCCTTTTTGGTAGGAAATTTTTCTCCTCTGTACATAGATCAAACTCCAAGCGAACATCTAAGTTTCTGGACCTCAAACAAAGTTCAGGGTTAAACAGGGTGTGGACAATCACTTAAAATTAATATCTGGATGCTTGCTTACAAATTGCTGCATTATTGTGAGGCCCAGAAAAGCTGGTGCTGTGGCCCCACAAAAGCACATCACAGATGGTATAGATAAGGTAGAGAAAAGGCTGATAAACTGCAAAGTAGCAAAATCTTACAGAAAGAAATATTCTTTATTACTACACTGTTTTTCAGGAAGTGTCCAACATAAATACTGCAATCCATATATGGATACTATAAGCAGTGGAATATTTAGGATTTTGTGCCTCAGGACTGCCAGATTTTATAAATATAAATACTCTGTATTTTTACAAGTAAGGAAAGGAAAGATGTCTTTTTCTAAATATATAGCTTTACATATGTTGCGACCAGAAAACATTATTCTCTCCATCTAAACTGAACTTCTGTCTAGCAGCATAACAGGAAATTTTACCTAGCACAGTTAACCACGTTCTGGACATGGGTAATGAACATAGGTGAAGAGGTAAATATAATCATTGACTTAATACTTTCTCCCTTAGTTACAGAAATAGGCTAGAAGTCAAAAAGGCTTTTTTTTTTCACAACAAAACCTTAGGACAGAATTGCTTACCAGTCATTTGACTTCAAATGTAAGTTGATTGTCTCATCCTAGGAAAAAAACACAATAGAAACACTGGAGATCATTTTACGTTCTTTCTTTACCATCAGCTCTGAAGCCCTTCTCTTTTTCTAAAAGTCACATTGAGTCACAAAGCCATAATAATCAGAAAATCCATCAAAATCTTAAAACTCTTCAAAGTCCACTTTATTTTCCTTATATTGTTTTATATTAAAGGTAAAGAGAGCAGTATACAGTAAAAACCAACACCAGCTCTGCCAGTGTCCTCCATCCTGCCTCGTTATTTGCATTTGCTCTGATCTGCATTAGTCCCTGAGGTTGTCACAAAAATCCCTTTGTCATGTGTTTGGCTGTGATTTTTTTGTTCTGCTAGGTCACATGAAAATGTACAGGTCCATGGTGTTAGGAATTGTTAAGAAGCTAAGGGCACTAACAGTTACCTATCTAAACCCCTTCTTCACACTGATCTAATTAACTCATGCCCATTGATCTTTGGTCTGTAGCTTAACATTTATTCTAAGTTGGTATCAATCACCTTTGCTACTGCCACTTTCTCACTGAATGGAAGTGAATCCAGAGGAATAGCAAGGGATGCATGGCAGTCTTTTTTGTCTTCACCTGAAGTACTCTGAAAAATAAATAATAATGTAGAAAAATATTTAATGTATAAACCATACAAAACACTGTCTCCAATGTACTTTTTTCAAATGGGTCCCTGTCCAGCAGTTTTCAAGTTGGCATCTAATATTTGTATGTCTTAGGGGGGCAGTCTTTTTTGTCTTCACCTGAAGTACTCTGAAAAATAAATAATAATGTAGAGAAATATTTAATGTATAAACCATACAAAAACACGGTCTCCAATTTACCTTTTTCAAATGGGGCCCCTTGTCCAGCAGTTTTTAAGTTGGTATCTAATATTTGTATGTCTTAGGGATTACAATGCTGTTTCAGAGCTGAAGTTCATGAAAGATAGCTCTTTATTGAAAATACAAACTCTTGCCATTTGCCTCAGTCAAGTGTAGAAAACCATGAGTTTACTGTGCTTACTCAAGCTAAGGATCACATACCGAGCAGAAATGAGGTCTCTTCTCTGCTAGAGCCATGCACAGCTCTGACAGTCTGTACTTGGTGTAATGGAAGTTCAGGGGCTTCAGAGGTTGCCAGAAAGAGCCCAGCGACAGGATCTGGCTCTTCTCATATGATCCCTTCACTGAAAACAAGAAGTCTTTTTCTGAAAAAAAAAATAAATAAAAATCCAAACATGAAAAATATACAGAGAAGATAATGACTGTGATCCCAGAAATGGAACATTAAATGGTCTTTCAGAGGTTTATATATAAATCCTTCAACAATGCTTAAAAGCTTCCAAATGCTGCTTATCCAGCAAGGGAACAGTACAAGAAATTGGAGAAGAAAAATAAACAAGCAAATCAAAAACAAAGCACAAAACACCAAAAATATTATAAAGCTGCAGTAGATGTTTTAAAAACTCAGTCATACAGGCAAATTGGACAAAACCTAAGTTGAAATAGAAATATGTATTTTCTTCTACTTTACAGCATTTATAAGATTCATTCCTTTGAATTTAAAGTCCATTTTTTATAGTTAGTTAGCACAGATTATAACTGTTTGATCTGTGAACCTGCATATACACTCCTAACCATCCAGCTCCTGTGCTCTAATTGTAAGAGCAAAGTAGGAAAATGACAAAATAAACAACACACAGACAAAAATCCAAACAAACAAAACCAAAACAAAACAAACTAAAACAAAAATATTTTTAAAAAACCAACAAACCAAAAACAAACAAGCAAAAAACCTCCAAAGCAAACAAGCAACCAAGAAAACTCAGTTAACTATAAAGTAAGGGGTTTTACTTCTAGTTTGAGGTCTAACCTGAAGGGTTTTTTTTTGTCCATCTGTTGTCCACCAGGACTTCCAAGCAGGAAATTTCACGAGACTGTAGCAAGGATGAAAAATGAGAGGTTAAGGTATATAAAACATGACATATCTGAGTCACTTCATTGCTATCTGTCTTTGGTCACCCAAGTCCCTGGGGTCTGGAAAACAGTCCACCCTCTGTTTGTTAGGCTGATAGGAGAAAGACTTTGTCACTCTGAAAATGTGACAGGTTTCAACTGAAAGAAAAATTGTTGTGGTGGTTTTGGACAGGACTGGGAAGAGAAGGGAAATAACGGGGGGCAAATGGGAGTGTGGTAAGACCTCCTGAGGGTAAACTGATGGGTGTGCCAAATCACAGGGATGTCCTTGCTTCCCTGCTTTGGTGAAGCTGGACATCAAGTGCTACCTCCTCTAAGTAATGAGTTAAGGGCAGCTGAGAAAGCAACTTCCATATTATCCTGTGGAAGTGGGGAGAACAGGATGGCCATAAGGAAGTCCCAAAAGAAGCTCCCAAAAGGAATGACAGAGCAGCAGTGAGTCAGTGAAAGACCACTTCAGGCTTTGTCAATAGGCTTGATATCAGCCTGTGGTGTTGAACAGGTCTCTGAGTATCCCAAAATGAGTGTGCACATTCTTTCCTAACACATCCTCCCACAGGGAGCAGCACAGCAGGATGGCTACCTGCGAGCCTCATCTCCCTCCCTTTCAGCCTTGCCTGCAGTGAGGTGTTGGGGCACCTGCCAGATTCACCATGCCTATCACTATCACGAAAACAAAAACAGAAGAGCAATAGTTTAAAATTACCACTAATACACCATTAGTCACAAGCTTTTCAGGAGGGACTGGACTGAAAGAGAAAAAAATGCAATCAGAAGTAGTATCACCTAAATACATCATTAAATGAACATCAAGGAATAATACCTTCCTTGAAGTTTGTCTTGTCCAGCATGGTCTCAAACATGTCACTGATTTTTAATTTAGGGACACATCTGAAAGGTGTGTTTCCTTTTTTTGAAGTCATAATGGTAAAGATAAACATGATGACTGCAATTATCATTATTCTCCCTCATTCAGCAAGCAATAGGATAAATTAATAACTAGTATGATTTTTGGTAGATAAGGAATACTGAGTTTTAGCCGATATGCAATAACTTCAACACCAGCCATGCTGAGTATTTTAAACTGTATTATACTAAATGCTAGCATATGTTTGACTGCTTGTAAAGAGGCACTTCCTTGTGGATGTTACTTACATGCTCTCCGATGTAAACTCAACTTCCAGTATCTCCTGCGTCTGTAAAAAATTAATTTATTATAAGCATCTGAATTAATTTTCTTTCTCATTAGCTGCAGTTCTCTATTATTATTCTGGCTCCTGAAAGAGTTCTTCAATCAAAACAAATTTCCCTCCTGCTCCAGGGTATAGTGTAAGGAGTGAAAGCATTTGAGTTAGAGTGATTTTGAAAGTGTTCTCCCTCCTTTGTTAACCACCAGTCCTCAGGCCAAACTGCCCTGTTCTGTTTGGTGGTGAGGCAGAGTAGAAGGGCAGGCAGTCCTGCAGCAGTAAGTGTTGGCTTAAAACTGTCCAAAGGCTTGGCTTTTTACTGGATAATGTTATCTGAAGAGGGATACTGCTGAACAGAAGAGGGCATTCTCATTTCTTCTGATCAAAAGGACTCCTATAACACAGACAACACAATGAACAGAGAAGTTAAGGCAGAATGCCTGCCAAAATCACTGTGCAGCTGAATACCCATATGTACTGTATAAGAAAAGTCAGTGAAACGGCAAATCTATAGAAGTTACCCGTATCCCATGTTGAAGTCGTCATGTAAGTCTTCAGGCACAATGAAACAATGTTTGAGAAAACAGTTTGAGCAACCGGCCATCAGCTGGTTTTAGCACCTCAGTATGGATCTTTGGATTATTTTCAGGTGTATTCAAAAGAAGAACAGAGCAAGGAATCAATTTTTAAGGGATACTGCAACTTCTGTGCCAGAGTATGCCCAAACTCACAAGTGCTTGTGTCAGGAAAAGAAATTATAACAAAGAAACTTTGTGCAATGGTGATGAAGTTTTGTATTTCCAACAAAACCTATTTGAGCAACAGAGTCAAGAAAGAGGGAAAAAAGGCAACTCTGGTGTCAGAAAAAAACAACTGCTAAGTGATTTGATGAGCTGGCAAAAGCCTTCAGGATCATGCCCTGGTCTACTTTGCTGATTGAGGTTTGGAATGTTCTTCACAGGGTATATGAAGTGCATACTGAGAGGAAACAAACTCTCCTACCTACAATTGCTTTAAAAGAACTTATTTATGAGGTAATGTTAAAAAAATGTATTTTCTTCCTGTGACCAGGGCAGTTTTATCACTCACCTTTGGATTTAGCTGAAATGTCAAGTGAACAGTTTCTCCAAGCTGGATTTTGGCAACATCAAAGAGAACAGTGAAGAGGAGGTTATCTTTAGCGACTGTATTTTCATCATAGACCTTCATCTCAAGAATATTCTGTGAACAGAGGTTCATAATTAGGATCCCATGCTGAGACCTTACGCACAAAATGATGTGCTCAGCATGTTAAGGAGAGCAAAGAAAGCATGGGGAGAAGTGAGAGAGCATGCAGAACCTTTGCATCCACACAGAGATGAAGAAAAACATTCTGAACCTACCACAGCGTCGGGTTTGTTGTTTAGTTTTTCTGCAAAGTAATTTAAATGACGAAAGCTAGTAGAATCACTGAATATTGAAAACCATATTTAGCTTCCAATTTGGTTTGAGGTCACCACTTTTTCCTGAATTGTAGGAAACCAGCTTGTTGTCAGGACTTTGTTGTTATTGGTAGAATAAAAATCCTTGGATATAAGCAGCAATTAAAATATATTAAGGATGTACCATATTATTACTTCATGGTTGCATAATTTTATCCTGTAAATTGTTAAACAGCTCACATGAAGATAATTACCATGGAATCTACAGAAGGCAATATGCTTTTGTTAAATTGCACAAATACCACTGTATAAATCTCCTCCTCTCCCTCCTCTGCCACCATCCTGTTTGGATGGACAGGAGAGGGTAACAGCCCCTCCTGTGCCTGATTAGTAGCTTGACATGGGCTGGCTCAGAGATGCCTCCCAGAGTGCTGAACAAGTGAACCTTAACTTAGTGGGGCAATAATTCAGGCCTCCCTCAATATATTCAGCAGCTCATTTTCATGCAAATTACAGGGAGCGCTTATCTCAGATTCTTACTTATGCATCAGATGTAATTGAAACTTGCTAAGAGGCTTGATGTTTATTAAAGACACACAGGCTCATGGTCTCACACACAAACACACGGATAAAAGAGAGTGAGCATATGAACTTTGTTGTCTTAGAACTTCATAATGTATCTCAGAAAGGCCCATACCTAAATGTGATAAGTGACTAACTAGACAAATACACTGAAAGGAAGCCGCTCCACAAACCAAGCGTTTAATTTTGACATCTATGATCCTGCAAGAAACCACCAAGGGAGACATGGCAAATAACCTTGAGTTTGCAATTTACTGTCAGAAGACAGAAATGCTGCTGACCTTTAAGGCCACCTATGTAAAAGCACTGCACTGTGGTCAGCCCTGTCCATGACACTTGCTAATAGAAACATACTGTCAAGAGGCAGAGACAAGCAGCCACAGCACCTTGGCATATAGGCCAGCCATAAATAGCCTGTAAAGAATTATGGAAGGTGATGGAGATGATATGCTTTAAAGCAATAGTGTGCAGTTAATAGAAGGCAGGCTTGCAATTGAAGAGCAGATGAGTTTTCCTAGCTGTGATACTGCAATAGAATTTCCTTATCTGGCTTAAATGACTGACTTATTTTCTGAGTGACCAATTGATTTGCAGTCCCAGCTGGCCAGGAGAGGCATGTACAGGGTGCTGGCTGGCCAAGGGAGATCTCTGGCTGTGCCCCTGGCATGCTGTATGGGAAGCAGCCAGGGGTGTCTGGGCAGTTCGCTGTTTCTAACTCTCCTGACAGAGAATATGAGGCAGCATCACTGGGAGCCAGATAATGAGCAGAGATAGCCCTTGGCAGGGCTGTGTGCCACCAGCTCTGGGAAGGGTCACCCTCCTGGAGCTGTGGGAATTGTGCCTACAGCAGAAGCTGGGGAAACCCTTTCTAGCCAACTGTTTCTCAGACACTCATCAAAACAAATGCCCATCAGTAAACACAGCTGCTCCTGAGAAAAACAAACACAAACATGTCCAAACATGCCCTGTCACTTCTCTTCCACATTGACAGTGTATTATATGATTTTACTGAGCTTGGCTACCATAATTTGGGAAGACTAATACCTCAGCAAAACACAAGACAGGAAAGAAGAAAATAACCAGATCAGCAAACTCTGGTTCTGCTCAAAGGGTAATGAGCATGGGAATTGCAGCATGTACAGAGAAACCTGCAAGAGCCTTATCTTAACTGCTGAGCTTTGGTTGTTCCAAATCCCCAGGATATGTTTTTGCAGCCTACACTCAAGCCACAGCCACCACCACCATGCTGCTGTTGCCACACTGAAAACTACTCCAGCTAATACCACATGTCTTGTCTCCTGCTGCAAATTTACTGAAAGTAAACATAAGGTCTTCCCAAACACTACTCCTGAAGAACTAGTTCAAGCAGCTTCCATGGCCAAGGTATTTTTTTTTTAGCTGTTCTATGTGGTATTGCAGTTTTGAAAAATCTTTCAGGAAGAGCAGGTGCTAGCGTGCAAGAGTTGCAGATCAGTGGGTGTTTGTTCCCATGCTGCAATGTTTGTCCCTTGCTTTTCACTTCTCTGTTAAACCTTCAGGGCTTCATGAAATTGTGCCTCACTGGCATTTTGAAAGAAGTCAGAATTTTTTTTAGGTTTGCAGGAAAAGCACTGTCTGTAGGCCACAAATGGGCAGATGTGAAAGCTGAAAGCTACCAAGCAGGGCCAGTACCATCTAACTGTGGAAGAAAACCTGAGAACATGTATCATGGGCAACTTCTGCAGTCAAGGGCAAGAGGGATTCACTGGAGACCCTGTGGTGTAGGAACACACTGAGCTATTCCAAATGCTCTTTTGGAGGAGTTTGGCAATTCTTGAGAGAGACAGAGGACTGCTGATTTGCCTCTTTGAGAGTCCTGATTGGGCACCAGCACTAGGAAATGAACAGTGCAAGCTGTAAAGCAGAGATTGATTGCCCCTGGTGTGAAGTAAGCCTTGGTTTACTTAGTCTTTGTGGACTCCTAGACCCTGATGTTGATGCTGTCTTTTGGAGGAAAAAGATAGTGGGACTTCCAGATCTTCTTAAGCTTTAACATTTATCATCATGATAAAAGTTCATCAAGTTTTCTTTTGCAAACTTCAGCTGTTGCTTTGTGACTCTTTTTTTATTTCTGGTCATTACAAAGGAATAATAATAAAGTACAGCCTTGTGATGCTCTCACTACCTAGCTCATACATATTTTTTACACTATTCAATTTACTCTGAAATTTTCACATTTATTACTGAAAAGGCATGATTAAAAAGGAAAAGAAAAAGTGAAAAGTGATAGAACACTATAGGAATGGTTATGAAATACCTTGGTCAATTTTTACATATCAGAATATTAAATTTAATTTTGCTGCTACATTTTATTCCAAATCCCCTTGCCACGATCCTTGTAGTCCTTCACACACATTTATGGTTTTATTTTGCCCTACATATTGATCACACCATGATATCTCTGCCCCCCAAAAAAAAACAAATGCACTCTGCATATTACCTTTACTTGGCTCTGGATCCTGAAGCAAAATGTTTCATTCCACACTGGATCTTTGCAGTTCTTAATGGTTTTGGTCCGGACAGTCTCCGGGGAAGCAGTGGGCAAAGACAGGCTTATGTAGCAATCAGTTTGGCTAACTGGATTTGAAAAGATATGTTGTAACTAACAAATTACTACAAATACCTTAAAGCATAGCCTTATAGCACTGCACGTATACAGCAAATTGCAAAAAGGAGGTGTTTCAATAATTATTCTGACAGATCTTTATTCAAAACCATTCACTACTATTTGTTACCTCCTGCAAGTGAGAGCTCAGGTCATGAATGGAGATTCAAAGAAACAGCTGCAATAAAGGCATCTGGTAAGAAAAGAGTACACAGAGCTAGTTTGACTTAACAAACCCGTTATCAGTACGTGCCCTGTTGGTTGCAAATCAAGAGATTTCTGTGATGGAGAAGAAAAATGCCTACACATTTTAAGAGAACCTTTTTCAAGACCAAAATACTTTTTTAACCACCTTCCCCATCTGGTCAGCTGTCCCCACATATCTGTAATCCAGTCCATGTGATGAGCTGCCTGTCTCATCCAACATACAATCACATACCTTCACCATGAACAACAATATGCAAAAATAGCAGTGCACTTTTATTTTACTGGGATTTAAACTCAGCCCTGATAGAGAAGAAAATTCTAATTTCTGAGAAAGGTGGTAATGACACAGAAGGTTGCACAGTGAGCTACAAGTATAGCATTAAATCTTAATACACAGCAGTTTCTTTGGGTTTGTTTTGTCTCCAGACCTCTCTGGGTGGGCATAGCTATCACAGAATCATGGAAGAGCCTGAGTTGGAAGGGATCTTAAAGACCACCTAGTTCCAACCCCCTGTTGTGGGCAGGGGCACCTCCCCTAGACCAGGCTGCTCTGTGTGCTGGGCACTGCCACATGGTGTGGGTGAATTGTGTCCTGTGGGTTGCCAGAGTTCCCAGGCGAGAGGCGAGTTGGGCACTCGGATATCTGTGCAACTGATATTCCCTTTGTGTGTCAGTCTGATATGTGTGGAGAATTTGGTGGTGGTTAGGAATCTCTCTGGTACTGCTAAGGAGATAATTGGTTTTTAGCAGGGAGCAATGCAGGGCATTTGCTCCTAAGAGTGTAAATGAGTACTGCCTCCTGAACCTGTGGTGATGAATTGAGACCCTGACAATGTAGTGAAGAATGCTGGGAGACTCAGTCTCTCTACACTGTCATCCACTTTTTCCAGCCCTCCCATTCTGAGCAAATCTGCTGTCCTTTCTAGGGAATGGACATTTCTTTTGTCTGCTGGGTGACTGCAGCTGTCTCCAATGTCTCCAGCTCTAAAAACTTGAGTATTCACAGTACAGCTCAGATTTGGGTATAATAGCAGGCAGTTTGGTACTGTACATATTTACATGCTGAGAGGCAGCATGACCAATTGGATAACCAGCTGGAAAAGGTCTCCTTACAGGTTGGTTCTATTCCCAGCTCTGTCACAGACCGCTAAGTCACTCAGGGCAATTGATTTCATTTAAATTTCTCTTGCTTCTCCATCTGCATTTCCCCACCAACAGCACAGTGATAACTATCCTTTCTACTTTTGTAATCTGCTTGGGTGTGACCCAGGAAGAGAGTCTGATCAATAATTATATTATTCTTTTCTACCAGTCTCTTTGTTCTCCTTCCACATTTTCTTTTAACTTGTGGGGTAAGCCATACTGCAATGAATGGGTGTCGCTTAAAGCAACTTGTGCAATCAGGGTATGTATGATTTATCTTTCAAGTCTTCTGATACTGTCTGAACATGAAACATCTTCCAGTTTTTCAGCACATACTTGATTGTTTCACCCTTACTGCCCTTAGTAGGTAAGATATTACTTTAAACACTTCAACATTGCAATAATGTTTAAAAATATCCTAACATTACACACAATAATAAGAGACATCTGCATTTGTAATTTTAAAATGCAGAACATATGCAATACATCTGTTGATAACAATTTATTGGTAATGAAACTATTTGTTTAGCTGTCTCCCACACACTGTTTTGGAAAAGTCTTTCCTTGATTTTTAACATTTGAAAAAGATCTTTGAAAAAGAGCTTTGCATAGTTAGTGGTACCAGAGGAGCAGGCTGTTTCTTCAGCAACTACAAGTTATGCACTAATGATGCATGTGTGTTTTAGAGAATTTGTTCATTTATGATCTGGGATATCTCTTTGTCATACACATGAGCTATGACTCGTGGTTTAGAAGAAAGGCATTCATTATTTTCAGAGTATCAAAGTGCTAAACTTGTGACTTACACTCTTATCTAGACAGAGCTGTGGTAGCTTCAGTTCATCCTCTCTAAACACAACAGATCTATACCAACCTGAGAGGTTAGTCCAGTCTTTAGCAAGGCTGCTCACCCTTAATAAGAGCAAAAACAGAGTCGCACAATCTGATGATCCACATTTAACACCAACTAGGTTAGCAACCAGTGAGGTCTCAGTCTCAACATAGCCTAAGACAAGAACGCAGATAGAAACAAAGATATTTTACTCTGTTATTCTTAGTGTAGTGTCCTGCCTTTAATTGTCCTGCAATTAAAGGCAGGACACTGCATGAAGAATAACAAATTATACCCCAGAACTAAAATGTTACAGGATGCATCTGGCAACTTACATAAACAACACAAATTTAATTACATTTTGGACCAGATCCCAAATACACAATGTTAAATGTAAGTGCAGATGATGAGATTTAGCACCAAGATGCTTTTTCACACATTTTAGCTCTGGAGAGGAACATGTGGATGCTCACTCAGTGTCTTCCATGTTGTATTCTTTTCCACTCTTTTCCTTCCTCCACCATAAAATGCTTTAACATTTACCAGCTATTAAACATATCCAAATTGAAGAGGATTGACTTAGGTAGCCTGGCATATGAGAAAGAGCTGTAAGACTCGAGTTTGCTAATTAAACAACAACAAAAAGGTTGTCAAATAATCAGTTCTGTAATGTCCAAATGATTGATACAAAGAGGATAATGATCTGCATCTCTGTGTGAATGGAGGCAAAAATTACAAGACTGCTCCAGCTCTTAGAGGATTATCTCTAGCAAGAGAGATTTTATAAATTTTTTAGGTAACTCGCTTCAGACTGTTCTAGTACTCAGACATGTATGAAACAGTGACAGATAAGGTAAATTTCATCCTGCTTCAAGAGGTGAAGACCAGCCCAGGTGAACCTGTAAGGTGTCATATGGAAATGCTGCCATGTAATTTCCATGTTTATGCTGGAAGGCAGAAAACAGGATAAACATGTCATGCCAATTATAGTCCACAGAAAACAACTAAGCCGTTTCCCTGCCAGGGTTGGCTATCAGGGAAAGAAGTGATAGGACAGCTTTATATGGCACACCAGCCCAAGGGATCAATTACCAGATAGCTGGCTGCTGTCTCCAAAACAACTCCAAACCTCCTTCTTTGACACATATGAAATAAGACTGTAAGTTCCTTGGAAGAGTTAGGTACAGTGTCTGTGGAACAAGGCCTAAATCCCTACATAAAGTCTCCAGGTACCATCACAATACAATCATCAAAATGAAACAACACAAAAAGCAACACAAGGTAATGCAGAGAAGCCTATGCACATCTTAACTACAAATCATGCATTTCCATAGGCATACCCTTTTTAGACTTTTAAAACGCATTGCCATTCTTTCACTGTTCCCATCCTTCCTTCACATAATCAGCCAGTAAGACCCAAAATGTTGTATATTTTTGGAAAAGAGTTATTATCAAACAGTCAGATCTTTGACCATCTTGTTGTGATAATGTGGTGCAATCTCAGCTCTATTGCTAGCTAAGATCTTTAAGAAGGTACTTTCATTTCCTTTTAAAAAAAAACTAGCCAAAACTAAGTCTTGGTCAGACATCAATACTGTTGATGCAGATACAGAGGGTAGTGAGAGCATCTAAAGAAATCATTATCAGAAGTAAACATCATAGAAACAGATTTGGAAACACGCTGCAAGCAATACACCCAAATTCTTTGGATTTTAAAGAAAGCAGGAGTGGGAACAAAATCAATACCAGAAAGAGCTGAACCACCAAATCAACACTCACAAATTTTCTTTCTTCAGAAAGTGTTCACAAGAATGTTGTTCATCCAATAAGGGAATAGAAACAAAATTGTTTTAAAAGCTTAGCTAAAACTTTTTGTTTCCTTAAGCATCATTATTTTGACTCAGAAATGCCTCTGACAAGGCATTCTTGGTCAAGATTGGTCCTAAACAAGAAAAGATGAGCACCTTTGTCAGGAAAATATTCAGAACTATTGTCAATTTAACTGCAAAATACAATGCAAACAATGGCACCAAAATTTGGGAGTGAATCTTTTTTTCAACCTTCACTGGCTACTTACTGCAGCACTACTTTATTGTCTCCTGCTGAGGGTACAGTCATAGAAAGTGCCCAAAAGAGGAGCCATAGTCCCAGGGGGACCTTCTCATGTATCTTAGCAGTGCAAACTACACAGCCATGTCAAATCTAGCCTCTCTACTTTGCATTGGTCTCCCACATAATAGCAAATCACATCTGGGTTCTTGGTCCTTATCTACAAGGTAATCAGTATCCTCCATTCAGCAAAGAGGTTGCCCAAAGCTCCAGAGAGCATCACTGGTGAAGGACCTCAACCTCTGAGAATCTTGCCTATGGGCAGGGCTTTCCCTGGCACTACTCCAGGTGTTCAAAACCTCCACAGTGACCAAGACATACCACAGGCCTTATTGCATTGTGCTTTTATTGTACCAATCACCTCAGTGGCGTTCATCTATGTCCATTGGTAAGAGAAACAGAAGCATAAAACAAAACATGTCTCTGCTCAGAGGGCAGAGAAAGAACGAATCCCTAATGACAGATATCAGTCACACTGCATAAAGCATAACTGGATGAACTGCAGATGCTGCTGTTTTTGTTGAAACTTGAACAACCAAGACAGGTACTGAGGTGGAAAAAATCTATTGGGATTCAATAAACAAAAATGTACTTAAATATATTTTTGATAACAAAATATCAAACATGAGAAGCTGTACCTTTGCCCTGTGTCCCTGGGGATGGGGGGAGTCTCTTCATTAA